CAGACGAAACGCCCGGGCCGTCCTTCCGACTGGCCTCATTATTAGGACAAGGAATGAAGGATTAGAGGAGGAGGAAGAGGAGGAGGAGGAGGAGGAGGAGGAGGAGGAGGAGGAACGCCTGGACCTAGACAGTCGGCGATGTGTTCTTTCTTGATGTGCGGTCTCAGATGTTCCGACCGCTTCACGGGGGACAGTTTTTCGCCCCAGAGCCGTTTTTGATTGTTCAGGGTCGGCTAGGGCCCCTCGTTGGAATGACCCTTGGTGCCAGCCCAAAGGGGGTCGGATAGTATTCTTCGGGATTGAGCTCGGCGTCGCGTCTCCGTTGGTTTTCCGAAGGGGGGCTTGGTCGGCTGGGCGGGTCCCGAATTTCAGCCCAATTTCCAAATCATCCAATTTGAAAAAGGTCATTCGACTGAATTTGAATACCCCTGAATTTCAGTTCATGAGAACCCTAACCAATCGACTTGTCTAGTGTTGAAAGTTATTCGCGCTCGTGGACTGCGTCGCGGGGGGGGGGGGGGGGGGGGGGCGATTTTGACCACGACGCCAGACCTGGTCATAGCTCATCGTGGTGGCGCTCAGAAGCCTCTGCTTACGCAGTGCCTTCGGAGCGCCGGGAGCCTCAATTGGAGGAATTCTGTAGTTGTCCGCTAAGGATCGCTCGAGGCGCGTAACTACAAGCATCATCTCGTCAGATCTCATGGGGAGGAGGAGGAGGACCAGTGTAAATTCAAGACTCATCAACGATGTTTCAATAGATCTCCCCTCGAAGATCACTTTACATAGGCCCTGAAATAGTGCATTGTTTTACCAAGAAGTGGTTCATTAGAAGACAACCGTCTCAGAAAATGCCCAATCGTGCGAAAAGGCAGTTCCTGGCAATGAAACGTCGCGGATCAACATGACAGTTGAGTCTTGACAACCTTCTATCGTGCCAAAACGCCGTTTTTTGAATCTCAACGCCGCGAATCAACATTACCGCTGCGTCCTGGCAATGCTGAATCGTGCCAGAACTTCATTCCTGAGACTTCGGCTACGCGAATATTTCAACTTATTGCGCACGCTTACAACGAATGTGCATGGTGTTAAGGCGACACCCACATAGTCAACAGGAACCGCCCGCCATCCTTGAAGCTGTTGCAAACTTTTAAGATGCACGTGCGCGGCGCACGCGAACCACCCGCCGTCCATCCTTGAATTTGTTGCAAGTTGTTCACAAAAAATTGCGCGTCGCTAAGGCGAGACACATTTTTTGTAAAGACAGTGCTTTCAATCTTTGAAGCTGTTGCAAGTTTTTGAGACGAATGTGCGTGGCGCCCAAGCGACAGCCACATTTTTAAATCCGCCCGTCCTCCATTTGTGAAGCTGTTGCCACTTTTCAAGCTTCAGGATCATCCGTGGTCAGGAAGTCTCAGGCGAAACGCCCAGCCCGCCCTTATCGACTGGCCTGGGGGTGCGACAGGGAGGAGTTTTTACAGGAAGAGGAATGGAGGACGGCACATCGATGCGATGTGTTTTTCGTTGTTGTCAATGCGGGGTCTCCGAAGGTCCCGACCCTTTCCCCAGGACCGATGTTTCATCCTGAGTCGTTTGTTGACGGTCCCGGAGCCCAGGGAGGGCCCCTTCCGCATTGAGTTTTCCAAAGCGTGGGAGGTGTTTGAGGAGGAGGAGGAGGAGGAGGGAGGAGGAGGAGGAGGAGGAGGAGGAGGAGAGGAGCAGGAGGCGGAGAAGGAGGAGGTGGAGGAGGAGGACGAGAAGGAGGCAGAGCCTAGCAAGGGGCCGCACCCTCAGCGGACCGCTGGCGCGCCCCGCGAGCGCGGCCCCCCTTCGAGCGATGGGCGCCGCCTGGTGCAGCCGGCGTGCCGCCGCCCCGGCCGCGGGCGGCGCGGGCGAGGGCGCCGCCGCTCCGGCGGGCCGCCCGGCGGGCCGAGGCGGCCCCAGCGGCCGCCCGGCGGTCGAGGCGGCTGCGGCGGGCGCGGGGCTCCCGGCTGGGCAGCGAGATCCCCGACGACCCCTCGCGTCGTGGATCAAGCAGTGGCGAAGCGTCCCGGCGTGCCCATAGCCCTACCAAATTAAGCAATGTTCTAAGAACCTTTCTAGTGGTTGCCACGACATGTGCTTAGAGCATTCCTGGCGGAGTCTGTCTTGTTTGAACACATCGGGCTTGTGTTCTGAGAACATGGTTTTTTGTTTTCAGAACATTTGTGGGTTCTGAGAACACTTCGTGGTGTGACTATAGGAATGCCGGGACGGTCGGTCCCTGCTCAAGTGGAAGAGAGGTCTCAGGGGAGGGAGAAGGTACCCACGCTGCTGCCCTCGCCTCGTTTTCGCCGGTCTGGGCCTCCCGGGAGGCCCTCTTGAAGGGGCCCACAAACACACAAATAAATACACACAAATAAAAAGATTCCCCATATTTTCCCATATTTTCTGGGTTTCTGTCTTCCCCCCCACTTCCCATATTTTCGCATATTTTCTGGGAATCGACGAATAATTGTGTCTGTGTGTTTTTTCCCCTCCTGATTCGTAGCCACCGCTGGGTGCGCCGCGGAATTCTGGTCATCTGGACGCCCGAAATGGGTACCGAAAGAAGGGGCACAATGCCCAGCAACAATTCCTGCTCCTCTTCAACAGGATTCGCTGTCCACGCCGCCGCGGCCCGTGTCCGTTCGAGACAGAAGGCCGCCTGCCCAACAGCGGCCGCGGTTGGCTTGGGACAACATCTGTTGTTGGGCACAGTGCCCATTCTTTCCGTGCCCATCTCGGGTGTCCAAAGGTCAGAACGCACCCCGGCAGATGTTCGGGGCGTCGCGGCTTCGGTACCTTTCGGTTTCCCCAGAGACCTCCGACGATCCTTCGCTTGTGAAAATCATGACGGATGCTTTGTGCTGATTCTTCCTGTGTTCAGCTTCTGGGGGCCCTCCCCAGGCCCCGGGACCGTCAGGAAACCTTTCAGGAAGGAACGTTGCTCTTGGAGAATGGGTCTAGACCTCGACGGCAACGACGCCGCCGACGACGACAACGACGACGAGCTGGCAACAACGACGACGAAGTCGTCGAGACCTCGACGGCGACGCCGCCGCCGACGACGACGACGACGACCACCACCACCACGACGACGACGACGATGACGACGACGACGACGACGACGACAACGACGATGACGACGACGACGACGAGCTGGCAACGACAACGACGAAGTCGACGACGACGATGGCGACGTCGACGACGACGACGCCGCCGCCAACGACGGCGACGCCGTCGCCGACGCCGATACCGACCCTGAGATCTGAGTGGTTTACTTTTCACACTGGGCATTATCGCCCTGCTTCGGACCCTGGGACCACCACAGGTCGAAAAATGCCGCAGAAAGACGGGTTACAGGGCTCTTGGTTTGCGTTTGTTCGCGACGTTGACTTGTTACCATCACGATTTCTGACAGATTTCTTTCACTTTTTTCGCTGGTGCAGATCCGAGTTATGGTCGTCAAATTGGCGTTCCAGACTTCTGACTCCGCGGCAAAGTCACGGCGGGAGGTTCTGGGATGTTTCTGTTTTGCGATCTTGGGCCCCATGGACTGCAGCGGGCGCGGTGGTTCCTGTACTGGGCGCTCCAGGTCTCCCCGCGACGTGGCGTTGCCCAGCCTCCGGGCACCTTTCCTCGATTTCGGCAGGGGCGAAAAGTGGCCCCGGGAAAGCGGTCGGGACCTCACGCGGCCAGGCAGCGATTCGAAGCCATCCCCACCAGACCCTGCTGGGCCTCCAGCTCCTCGTCCTTCTCCTCCTCATTCACCTCTCCCTCCCCCCTCTTCCCCCCCCCCTTCCTGGTCCCAAGCCCTCCTTCCTCTCCCTCCCCACCCCCCCTCCACTCCTACCCTCTAGGCGCCAGCACCTCCCTCCGTTGCTGGCGCTCTGTCATGGCCTCCCCCTGATTTGGAGGCGTGGGCGTGGAGCTCCAAAGAAAAAAATACTCCTGCCCTCCCTTGATCCCCCTGCCCTCCCTCTCCCGACCCTCCCCTCCCTGCCCCCTGCCCGTCCTCGGCTGTCTTGGGGAGGGCCTCCTCCTCCCCCTCCTCCTCCTCCTCCTCCTCCTCCTCCTCCTCCTCCTCCTCCTCCTCGCCCTCCCTCTTCCTCCTCCTCCTCCTCCTCCTCCTCCTCCTCCTCCTCCTCCTCGTCCGAGCGCCCTCTTGGCTCCTTCGCGCCCCGAGAGGCGCGGGAGTCTCCCGGCGGCAGGCGCTCGGCGGTCTGCGGCCTCGTTCGGGGCCCTGGCCGGGGCCTGGGGCCGCCCAGCAGCCATCGGGAGCCTCGATGATTCACGTTGCTTGCACCTTCGGGGGGCCTTCGGGGGCCGCGCCCGTCCCCAAAGTTGCTGTCTTCTCTTGCGCTCCGCGCGGACTCGGCGCGGGCCTGGCGTGGACTCGACGCGGATTCCACGCGGATTCGACACGGATTCGACACGGATCCGACGAGTCCGACATGGCTTCGACACGGATTCGAGGCGGATAGGGCCGCGACAGGACAGACAAGGTCCCCCGAGGATGCAACCTAACCTTGAGACGGGGGTCAAGGCAAACGAAGGTGGGGGGACAGCACAGGCGCGAGCATCACACGGATTCGCCGGCGGGCCTCGTCGACGACATGGACGATCGATTTTATTTTCCCGGCGCCTGCCGGCGCTGGAGGCCGCCGTGCATCGAGGAAAGTGCTTGCAGACGAAATCAGCTGCACGCAGCAGAGATCGCACCCCCCCTTTCCCCTCGGGAGCCTTGAGACCAGGGTCAATGCAAACGGGGGTCAGCCAGAGCGCCCGATCTTGCAGGATCCTGCAGGGCAAGGGTCGCATCGGCCTGGGTTTGAGTGCAGGATCTTGCAGGGTCCTTCGCACTGACCCAGGTTGGGGTGCAGGATCTTGCAGGACCTCGCACGATTCTGCAAGGCCTGACTAACCCGGGTCTGGATTGACCCGGGCCAGAACATCCCCGGCAACAAAATGGGGTGGAAAAACAGTTTCGTGAAAGGGTCTGTACCTCCCGGGTTCTACGTGCTGAAAAAAAGGCACACCGTCGAAGGCCTGGGTATGGGGTCGGAGGATCGTGCCGCATCGCCGATTCTTGCTCGATGCGGCTCGATGTGGAGCTCGGTTCTCCTCCCTCAAAAGCTGACGGCGCCGATGCCTCGCCGACTTCGTCGATGCCATCGCCAACGCATCGGTGATGCCTCGGCGGTGCGGCGCGCTGTGCCGACCGCAACTCACTCGGGCGCCGTTTGGGTGCCTCCAGGTGGGCGTGGGCCTGGCGGCCGCCGAGAAGGTCTCCACACCTCGTCGCGTCGTGGGCAAGAAGTCACGGCGAGAGGTTCTCGGCAGATTCCAGCCCCCGGGGGCCTGCCTTGGGCCCGGCAAGAAACGTTTCGGGCCCAACGCAAAGAAGAGCTGGCCGGCCTTTGGGAAGTGGCCCAACCCAGACAGCCGACGATGCGATGCTTTCAGCCCGCGGCCCCTGAGTTCCCAGCAATGTCCCTGGGGGGGAGTTTGTCGTCCCGGGCACATGTTTGATAACCCCGTGGCCCGATGACGGGCTTGCAGAGGCAAAGAGAAGTGCAGGAACAGCACGCCGGGAGCGTGAACGCATGCCGTCGGAGATCTGGGCGCACCTCCCGGGGTGTGAACCGCCACGGCGTCGGGGGCCCTCGGGAAGGTCACCAGCTCGTCGTCCTCCACGGCGCTGGCGAGGGCCCGGTGCACCCGGGAGTGGCTGGAGGAGCGGGGCTTCCTGGACACTCTGGAGGGTGAGCGGCAGGTCGGCCTCGCGTACGACGAGTTCATGCTGCAGCACGTCGGGCCGCAGGGCCATCCGGAGCAGCCCGCGCGCCTGGAGGAGATCCTGTCGCAGCTGTGGACCTCCGGGCTCCTGGAGGCCCCAGGGGGCCAGCCAGCCAAGGCAGGTCTCGCTTCGCAGACGTTGGGAACTCCGGGATGCAGCCCCGGGGGGGGCCATTCGGACGCGCCCATGTCGAGGACGGACGCCCCCACATCCTCGAGCTTGGCTCCAAAGTTCGTGCCCCCTCGAAATGATTGACGCTTCGCGCATCCCCACCAGCCATCGAGCGACAATCACAGCGGGTTGCCCTGATCGGGAATGTGTAACTTAGCAGCGCGCAGTCACGCTATGTGGGCCTAGCTATTGCAGGCATCTTGGGGCCATCGCGGGGCCCCTCTTGGGGCCACTTTGGATGCCTTTGGGGCCCTCTTGGGGCTCTCTCCGGGCCATTTTGGATGTTTTGGGGTCGCTGATCGGGCCATCTTGGAGACCATCGGTCAAAGAAACGGGGGCAGGTCCATTTGCAGGGTATTGCAAGCTCGCCTGCCGGGTCTTGAAGGACACTGCAGGGGTCTGGCTTGCAGGGTCGTTTCGCAGGGTGCTGTAGGGGCACTCGCAGGGTTTTTGGTGGTGCTCTCAGGATACTGCAGAGGAGTCGGTGGAGAGGTCAAGTTGGCCAGGTCGAACGAGGCAGCGGGGCCCACCCTGTCCCAGCCGCCCTCCCATGACAGAATGATCAAATGATTGCAACAAAAACCCGAAGGATTGCAACAAAAAACCCTGGATTGCAAATCCTTCGTACGAAGGGTGTTTTTTGCAATCCTTCGTAGAAGGGTTTTTTTGCAATCCTTCGTTCAATGTGGCGCGCTCTGAATGAGCGTGTTCCCACCTCGCGCGCGGACGGCCCTCGCGCGCGGTCCCGTCTCCGACGACTTGGCGAGGGACCAACAAATGCGGGGCCGTGCGCGGCCTTGCGGCGTGGACGCCGTGGGGCCCTCCACCAGGCGGCCAAATTCCCGATCAGCGCGTTGAAGACGAAGAACACGCTGCGCCCGAACAGCACTGCCACTGTCACGCGAAGTGCGCGGCGCCTTGGCGAGGGCACCATTTCGCCCGCTCTCGCGCGGACCCGCTGGGATTCGGAGAGCGACGCGTGCCTCGCGCCCACGCGGGAACGCCACTTACAAGCGGCATCTGTCTCCACAGAGCGAACGCGAGTTCGACAGTTCGCCCGCTCGCGCTCGGTCCCACCCCAAGCGACTTGGCGAGTGAAAACTACGCGCCGACGCGAGGGCCGCCGCTTTCAGACGCAATCTGCCAGGAGGGGAACACACACACACACAGACACAATTAATCGTCGACTCCCAGGAAAATATGGGAAAACATGGGAAGTGGGGGGGAAGACGAACATCTAGAACATATGGAAACATATAAGGAATATTCGGATGTGTGTGCATTTATTTGTGTGTCCTTTGGGCCCCTTGAATCTGCGTGGCGCAGAGGCGAGAGTGACATGTCCGTCCTCGAGCGCGTCGACGACTTGGCAAACGAAAAATGTGCGACGCGCCCCCGCGGTAGCTCAACTCCTTGGGGAGAGGTGAGCGCGGCGCCGAGGCGAGAGCAACATGTTTCGCCTTTTCGCGGGGGGATGAGCGCCGCGTCCCATTCCAGCCGCGCATTTAGCATTAAGTTAAGTCGGGCGTGTCCCTCTACAGCAGGAATATTCAAAAATAGAAAAAATAGTCGGGGGACTATTTTGTGAACATTTTTCATTATGTCGGGGCATTGGTTTCAAGTATTTTTCATTGTTCACCCGAAATCCCCTTGTACGGGGACACGCCCGACCTGAATTTAGCAACGTCGACGACAACACGTCAATGTTGAGAGCAAATACGTCGACTTTGGGTTGTTTTTGCAGGTTGGGTGGGAGAGCCCAGATGGTTGCGGCATCGGCTGGCGAGGTTGCAGAGTAGGAGTCTATACGAACAGTGGTAAATCTCTACCCGAGGGGAAGAAAGGTTGGAAAAAAATTACCCCCTCACACACCCTACGCCCTAGAGGGCAGGTGGGATCCCCAGAAGATGGGGATTTGGGCCGCCCGTCACGATGACCCTCCCTCGTGCTCGCCTTCTTGGGCCTCCCGGGGGGCCCTTGTCACCACGGCTGGATTCGCCCCGGAAGGCCGAGCAGAACTCACGCCCCCAGACCCCCGCGTACGTCATGGCTTTTTTTCAGAACGCCGAAGCCCCGCAGGTTCAGATCACTCCCCTGAGTAGCTTTTCGACGGCCTTCTGGCCGGGCAATAGCTTCAGGCCGAGAATTGTTGCCAAAACTTGCCAGTCGTGTTTTTGCTCGCGACGGCGAGGTGGCGGTCTTCTTGATCCCACAAGGCCTGCGCGCGCATGCCCACGCGTGAGGCGACGGACGAGGAGCTGCAACGCGTGCACAGCGCGCACCACGTCGAGCGGGTGCTGCGCTGCGAGGCGTCGGCGAAGAAGAAGACCAAGGCCTGGGCTGGACAAGTGGGGTTGGAGCTCAGACGACGAGGGACACCCTGACCTCCTCGCGTTGTGAAAATCACGACCAGAGGCTTTTCTCTCTTGTCTGTCCCTGGGGGCCCGCGCTGGGCCCAGGAGCCATCAACAAACGACTCGGGATGACCAGCCGGTCCTGGGGGGGTTCCCGAAGGGGGGGAGGGGCGGGAAGAGGAGGAGGGAAGAGGGAGGAGGAAAGGGAGAGGAGGAGGAGGAGGAAAAGAGGAGGAGGAGGAGGAGGAGGAGGAGGAGGAGGAGAGAGAGAGGAGGGGGGGAGGAGGAGTAATTTGCATGATGATGATGATGATGATGATGAGGAGGAGGAGAGGAGGAGGAGAGGAGGAGGAGGAGGAGGAGAGGAGGAGGGGGAGGAGTTGCAGGACGAGGAGGAGGACGTGGAGGAGGACAATTTCCGGCGACATGGTTTCTTCCAATCCGGTTGATCTTCCACGACGGCGGCTTCCGTGTGCCGCCATATCGGGCGCCAGGACCATCGAAGATGGATCTGGGGCGAGCTGCTGCCCCCGGGGAGGGGTCCCACTCCGGCCAGGCCCCCGTTGAGTCCAGGATCGGTGTGTGCGGCGCCCCGGCCGGGCGAAGAGGACCGCAGTGCGCCGATCTTGAGCCCCGGGGCCCAGGAGCGGCTCACAGCCACAGCTGGTGAGGGTGTTCACCTGCTGTCGCCCCGGGTGCAGATGGGGTCCAAAGATCGCGCCGCATCGACGATGCATCGGCGATGCGGCGCGATCTGCAGGGGGTCGTCGCCGCCGCTCGCCTCGAATCGCCGTCGTCGTCGTCGTCGTCGTCGTCGTCGTCGTCGTCGTCGTCGTCGTCGTCGTCGTCGTCGTCGTCGAGGCATCTCGGAGGCATCCGGCGGTGCGGCGCCCTGCTGCGACCCCCTTCCGCTGGCCAAGCCCAGGCTTGCGCGGCTCGATTTGTTCCGGGATTTGGTCAGGGCCCACAGTAGGGGGAGGACATGTTCAGGGGGAACGCATCGACCATCAATCGCTAATGCATCGTTGATAGGGTTGCGATATCCCCACCCCACTGGGGATCGTGCGGACTCGCCATCGGAGGCCTGTCGCCGGTCTATCGCCGATGTAACCCTGTGCCCCGGATAGTACATCGTACCCCCCCTTTTCCCTCCTCTTTTTTTTATCCCGGTTCAATCGGATTTCATTGTGGAGAGGGGCGCAGATGGCGACCTCGAGAATCCACGAGGGAAGCTGCGAATCGAAGTTGCTATCATCTCATGTTGACTAGCAACATAGTCAACTACGCTGAGCGTGGCCATGGTGGTCTCACCATATCAGCTTCCACAATCACGAGCGTGTGGCAGGACACGATCTACAAGGTCAGTCTACACGAGCGCCCAGGATTACCATCATCATCGTCATCCTCCTCCTCCTCCTCCTCCTCCTCATCATCATCATCATCATCATCATCATCATCATCACAACTTCTAACTGACATCACCTTCCCTGGGAAAATCATGGATTATCCCCGCCAGACCCCCGAACTTCGTTGTCTGGGGGTGATGATTATCTGGGGCACAGGGTCATCGACGATTCCAGGTCGAGGTCTCTCCCTCTGAGCCAGCCTCCCCTGTCGTTGCCGCTCGCGTGGGCCCCGGGACTTTCCTGACACCTCTGCTGGGGCAGCTTTCGGCCGCCCCGGATCTCCTCCGAGCCGCTGGATGCCTGGGAACCCTGGTCGGCGTCCACAGCGCTGGGTCGGACGAGAGAAGGAGGGGAAAGGGGGGTGGCGACAGTTGTGGCGCGCAGTTGTCCTCTGCCTGGCCGCCTGGCCCCGTCATCGAGGCATGGTCGCTCAGGCAGGGAGTGGTGCCTGGAGAACCGCTTTCGCGCAGCTGATTTGCTATGCACCCCTTGGTGTTCTGCTTCTTTCCCAGGCATCCGACGATCTGAGCTCCTTCGATTTGGAAAACCGCTTTCACGCAGCTGATTTGCTAGGCACCCCTCGGTTTTCTGCTCCTTTCCCAGGCAATCCGACGATCTGAGCCTCTTCGATGCGCGTCCCCAGAGGTCCCGACCGCTTCCCGGGGGGAGTGTTTCCTTCCAGGTCCACTCGTGATTGGCCGAAGTCCAGGAAACGCACCAGGATGGAGCAGCAACATCTCGTCAACGAAGGATTTTTAAAAAACCCTTGAACGAAGGATTGCAAAAAAACCCTTCGATCTGAACGAAGGATTGCAAAAAAAAGCCCTTCGTTTTTTTGCAGTCCTTCGTTTTTTTGCAATCCTTCGATCTGGGCTCGGCCGACCCGAAGCAGGGCTTCTCCTTCCCGTTCGGGCCCGACACCTACGTGTGCGAGCAGAGCCCGTGCTGCGCGCGGATGGCGGCGGGGTGCCTGCTCAGCCTCGCGGACGCGCTGCTCAGCCCCGAGTCGAGCGTGAGGACCCAGGCCACCCGAATGGGGTCCGCGCGGAGTCGGGGGATCGCCCCGCAGCGCCGATGCATCGGCGATGCATCTCGATGTGGAGCCCGAGTTGCGCCACGCCGACGTCGCCGATGCATCGCCGATGTGTCAGCGGTGCGTCGCCGATGCGGCACGATCCTCCGGCCCCGTCTGCGTATGTCAGGTTCGCGTCGACGACCCAGACGTTGGCTTTTTACGCCACGGGGATCGATCGATCTTGAGCGATCGCGCCTTTCCGATCGTGCAGATCTTTTGATTCTGGCCGATTCCAGACCACTGGGGGCGTTCAACCTTGAAAGCCAGCGGCGGGGTCGCCGCCGTGCCGACACAACGCGAACGTGTCGTCAAGACGTTGCGATTTGGACCGTTCTGGGCTCAGGAGGTGCTCTCTGGTTTTGCAGCCGTTCTGCAGGTTCAAGTCGTGGAACCTCGTCGTGGCCGAGGCTCACCGTGGCCAGCAATGCCTGCCTTATCCGGCGCTCCTTACCAGGCGGCAGGCCCGTGTCGTGTCGACTCTTACCAGCCTCGACCTTGTCCCTATCCCTAAGATTGACACGCCAAAAGGCGATGATAATCTTAGGGATGCGCCCTGCAAAAAATAAGGGAATCCCTGAGATTGGCATCGTGATGAGGAGATGCCCAACATAGGGATAGGATTATGTTCCAGGCTGGTAAGACTCGGCGGCGAACCCGGCGCGCGGGCGTCCGTGGTTGAAAGCCGCCGGTGGTCCAGAATTGGCCAGTGTGAAACGGGCTGGCTATCGCAATACCGCAGTTTGAAATCGCCGGTGTTGGTCACGAAACGAGCCCTCTGAGGCCCTCTGAGGCTGTTTTTCGTGCTCATGTTCGTTTTTGCACTCAGCTTCTCTTTCTCTCTCTGGTCACGAAACGAGCCTGCGCGATGCCTGCGCCGCACTCGGAGCCCACCCTGAGATCCGACGTCGTTTTTTTTTCAATGCGGGGCCCCCGGAAGTCTCGACCCATTCCCCTGGACTGGTTTTTCATCCCGAGTCGTGTTTTGACGGTCCCGAGGCCTGGCGAGGGCCCCCAGGGGCCGAGCTTTGCGAAGAACCTCCGTCTTGATGTTCTTCAGTGCGTTGGATCTTTGGGGAGCCCAGCTTGAGGGGCCTCCAGGACCGGCATGGCCCTGGTGCGCCCGCCCGGCCACCACGCCAGCGGCGACCGCGCGTCCGGGCTCTCCTGCCAAACGGGGCGGCGGCGGCCTTCGCTGCTGGCCTTGGGGGGGGCCACCCCACGGGGGCTCGCGCCGATGCCTCCGATGCGATGCGATCCGATTCTCCGATTCGATTCGGCCTCAGAGTCCGATGCTGGTTTGACCTCCGATGTCTCCACGGAGGCCTGTTGCCAGCCGGCCCCACTGAAGCCAGGGCGCGGCAGGCCAGAGAGCTGGAGCCGTCCGGGGGGGTTGGGAGGTGGCCCAGCACGGGCTTTCCCGTCGGCAGGGAGGGCTGGTATGAAGTCGGGCGTGTCCCACTACAGGGGGAATATTCAAAACTAGAAAAAATTGTCAGGGGACGATTCGTTTAACTGTTTTTAGGTATGTTTGAATATGTTTGGGGTATTTTTTTGATGTTTCGTCCAAAATCCGCCTGTAGGGGGACAGGCCCGACCTAAGCCCAGCACGGTTTCTCCCGTCAGCAGGGAGGGCTGGTATGCCCGCCCATTTTGTCGGGTGGGTGTCGGAAGGGTCATAAGGTGGGTGTTCGGATGGGTGAGAGCAGGCGTGCGCGAACGAGGCGCGCCGTGTACGTTTAGAGTTTCACTTTGGTGCGTCTGCAACTGCATTTTTACCCAGATTCGTTCGACCTTGGTCGTGCTGCTTGATTGCCCGTTTGGTTTTCGCACCCCCCTTTGCCTGCCCCCTGCCAACTTTCTTCTCTCCCCCCCACTGGGGGAGGCGGGCGGCATGGACGGGGCAGGGGTGAGTGGAAGGGCGAGACAGAGCGCCGAGAAGAGGGCGCGACCATGGCGATGACGAGGAGCATTGGCAATAGCAGCAAGATGTGGGATGTGCTCGATCACGGAGAAGTGCGACGACGATGGCGAGCAGGGCGATTACAGTGACGACGAGCAGGAGGACCAGGACGAATAGGGAGACGAAGGGGGGAAGACGAGAAGTGAGGGAGAAGGAGCAGGGAGGAACAAAAATAGGGGGGAGGAAAAGGAGGGAGGGAGGGAGAAACTGGGGAAGAGGATGACGAGGGAGGGGGATGAGGTGGAGAGATCGAAGGGGGACGAAGGAGGATGGGGCGGGGAGTGGGGCGCAGCGGAGCCCGTTGCGGAATGTGAGTGCCGGCTACGCGATTTGATGAGAACCCGAGTGTTTCGCCCAATATTAGAAGGAGGAGGATGCGAAGGAGGAGGAGGAGGAGGAGGAGGAGGAGGAGGGGGAGGAGGAGGAGGAAGAGGAGGATGAGGCAGGGAAGGCACTGCTTTTGGACGTCGCACGCATGCGTGAACACGGCCGAGTTCACGGCCAGCTGGCCGTGATCACGGTCGCGTTCACAGCGGCTTGCTGAAGTAACAGCTGAAGCATCTGGGCTGTTGAGCGTCGCCTGAACACGGCCGTGTTCACGGCCAGCCCGCCGTGAGCACGGCCGTGTTCAGTGCTGTTCCCTCGAAAACAATGGCACGTCAGTGTTTTGTGGCGTCGCCCGTATGCGTGAAGATGGGCGTGGTCAGGGCCAACGCACCGTGAACACGGCCGTATTCACGGCCAGCCTGCAGTGAACACGGCCGTGTTTACGGTGATGTCCTTGAGATTCATTGAAAATCAATGTTTTGGGCGACGCCCGTGACAAAGGTCGAGCATACGATTGAGAAACCTCATCCCGAAAAGCTGCACCAGCGTTTCTTACGGACTTGCCGGAAAGCTGGCCCAGTTCTTTGAGAAGGCTCGCCACTCCAGTATTGGCCACATACATTGGCCCAGGCTTGTCTGCTGGCCCAGATTTCTGAAATGATGTGTTTTTTTCGAGTTCACTTCCAGATGTATCAATGAACACGGCCGTGTTCACGGCCAACCCACCGTGAACACGGCCGTGTTCACGGCCAACCCACCATGAACACGGCCGTGTTCACGGCCAGCCCGGTGTGAACACGGCCGTGTTGATTGCGATTTCCCGAACGTGCACATGAAAACCAGTGTTTGTGGAGGTCGCCCATGCGTGAACACGGCCGTGCTCACGGCCAGCTCGCCGAGAACACGGCCGTGTTCACGGCGATGTCCTTCAAGATGTTTCCCGGCGTCGCCCGCATGCATGAACACGGTCGTGCTCACGGACAGCCCGCCGTGAACATGACCGTGACCACTGCCAGACCGTTGTGGACGCAGCCGCGTTTTTGGTTTTTCTGGATTGGTGAGGGGGGCGTGGGTGGGCGCAGCGTGTTTTTCTTCGCCCCAACAGCTGCCTCCGAACTAGTGAACACATGGGTGAGCGGAAGGGTGCGCGGAAGAGTGCGCACGTTCATGGTTCATGCCAAAAGGGCACAGCGCACCCCTCCGCACAATCATGTGCTCATCAGTTCGGAGGTACCTTTAGGGCAGACACAAGGCGCACCCCTCGCCGAGGAAAACATGCTGCTCCCACCCCCTGCCTCCCTCGCCAGCTCGCAAAAACCGTGAACACGATCGCGTTCACAGCGATTTGGCCGTGATCGCGGCCGTGTTCACGCATGCGGGCGACGCTGAAAATCATTGATTTTAGATTTGTTCTTCAAGGAAGTCACCGTGAACACGGTCGCGTTCACGGTAGGTTGGCCGTGAACGCGGCCGTGTTCGCTGTAGTAGAATGGCCGTGAACACGGCCACGTTCACGCATACGAGCGACGCCGAAAGCATTGATCAGGCATGAATTCTTCAAGGAAGTAAGTTTAAACACGGCAATGTTCACGGCGGGCTGGCCGTGAACATTGCCGCGTTCACGCTTTCGGGCGACGCCACACAGCATTGATGTTCATATGCTTTTCAAAGGAATCACTGTGAACTCGGCCGTGTCCACGACGGGTTGGCCGTGAACACTGCCGTGCTCACGCATGCGGGCGACGCCCAAAACATGAATGCTTCATTTGTTGCTTCAAGGGCGTAGCCGTGAACATTGCAGTGACCACAGAAGGCTGGCTGTGAAAATTGATGGGCCTGTTTTCCACCACCACCACCATAAGTTGGAGGGGGAGGGTGCCCTCCTCTTCCTCCTCCTCCTCCTCCTCTTCTTCGTCCTCCTCCTCCTCGTCCTCCTCCTCCTTCCCAACTCCAACTTATGGTGGTGGTGGTGGAAAACACGCCCATCAAAAATTGCCGCGTTAACGCATGCGTGTGACGTCCAACGGTATTCTCTTCTCTGCCTGGTCCTGCACCTCCTCCTCCTACGCTGCCTCTTTAGCTCGTTCCTCGTTCCTCCTCCTCCTCCTTCTCCGCCTCGTCCTCCTCCTCTCTCTCCTTCTCCTCCCTCTCCTCTCTCGCCTTCTCCTCCCCCCCTCCTCCTTCTCCGTCTCCTCCTCTTCCGCCTCCTCCTTCTCTCCTCCTCCTCCTCCGCCTCCTCCTCCTCCTCCTCTCCTCCTCCTCCTCCTCCTCCTCTCTCCTCCTCCTCCTCCTCTCCTCCTCCTCCTCCTCCTCCTCCTCCCCCTAAACCTCAAGCACTCGGATTCTCGTCAAGTCGTGATCCGCAGCGAATTCCGCAGCGGGCTCCGCTCCGCCCTACTCCTGGCTCCCTCCTCCGCAGTCCCCCTCCGATCTCTCCCTCTCATGCCTCTCCCTCGTCCTCAACATCCCTCCTTTCTACCTCCCTCCCCACTTTTCCTACTCCCTTGCCTTTTTTCCTCCCCTTCTCCCTCACGTTTCGTCCTCCCCCCCCATCGTCCTCCTATTCGTCCTGGTCATCCTGCTCGTCATCAGTATCATCGCCCTCGTCACCGTCGTCGCACTCCTCCGTAATCTGGTCCCTCCCCCATCGTACTGCCATTGTTTCTCCTCGTCATCGCCATGGTTGCGTTCTCTCCCCGCCGCTCCATTTCACCCCTTCCGTCCCCCTTGACCCGGTCCATGCCGCCCGCCTCCCTGAGGGGGGAGAAGAAGGTTGGCAAGGGGCAGGCGGACGAATAACCCAAGGTCGAGGGAACTTGGGCAGCCTTGCAATTGCAAACGCAAAGGTTAAACTGTTAACAATCATGGTGCACTTCATTCTCGCACCCATAGTTTCACCGATCCGAACGTTCGAGGTTCTGGGTTCGGGAAGTTTCTTTGCCGCGTTCGGCCTCCTGGAGCCGTTTTCGGGTTGGGACCGTCAAAGGCTGATCTTCGGTGAAAACCTGCACCAGATGTACCCAGGGTCTGGGGACCGATCTTGAGTGGATTTGGCGTCATCCCCCCTCCTGACAGATTTTGGGGGTTCCAGCCAGCTCAGACCCATTGGCCGCATCCAAAACCATACATGATCCAGGGCTGCGGGCCCACACTCCCCATCTCCCCCCGATGGGATGGGTCCCAGGGCTCCACGGCCTCCCCCTCCCCTGCTGGGATGGGAGGGACGACGACGATGACGACGACCTTGACGACGATGACGACGGCGACGGCGACGCGACAACGACGGCGACGACGGCGACGGCGACGACGACAATGACGACGACGGCGGCGACGACGACGGCGGCGGCGACGGCGACGGCGGCGACGACGACGAGGGCGGCGACGGCGGCGACGACGGCGGCGACGACGACAACGACGACGACGACGACGACGACGGCGACGACGACGACGACGACGGTGACGACGACGACGACGACCACGACGACGACGACGACGACGGCGACGACGACGACGACGACGACGACGACAATGACGACGGCGGCGGCGACGTTGACGACGGCGACGACGACGATGGCGACGACGACAACGGCGGCGACGACGACGACGACGACGGCGACGACGGCGAGGACGACGACGAGGGCGGCGGCGGCGGCGGCGGCTGCGGCGCGGACCTCCAGAGCCCTCCGACGGCGACGGCAGCTGCGGCGGCGACGACGGCGACCTCCGGAGCTCTCCTGGAGGACCACTGTACCACGCCACACACGCCACACCCACAGCGCCACGCCACACCCAGGGGGGGGGGGCCATGGCATCAGCATGAGGGGGGGGGGGCCAGACCCTGGACCATATATAGATTTTCTTGTTTCTTTCATTCGGTGAACCCGTAACGTCCGTCAAGGGGGGTTTGCCACCCCTCCTCCCCCCTTGTAATGGTACCGAGCGTGCGCGGAGGTTGGGTGGGTTGAGTTCCCCCGCAGACATGGCGCGGCGCTCGCAGATATAATGCGGTGCTGAAAGGCATGCTTTGATGCTCACAAGCATGTTGTGGCGCTCACAAGCATGCTTTGGCGCTCACAAACATGCTGTGGCGCTCACGGATGTTACGGGGGGAATAACAGAACAAGATCACAGGACGAATAACATTCCAGCCAGAGACAGCGAATAATATATACATATATATATATATATATGAATAACATTCCAGCCAGAGACAGGGAATAATATATATATATATTGTTTCGACGCGCGGCGGCAGTTTTTTTTTTTTTTCCGCGCGCTCATTTGTCCTGGTCGAGCAATGCCCCCGTTTGCAGGGCCCTGGCGGCGGGCATGTCCGCATCCGTCCCTGACTTCCGCGCTGCGACGACGTCACGACGGAAGGGTTGTTTGGATTAAGTCGGGCGTGTCCCTCTACAGGAGGAGTATTCAAAAATAGTCAAAAATAGTCAGGGGACTGTTTGTTCAGTTTTTTCTTGCTATTTTGCCAATTGTTTATTTGTCGTCCACAATCCGCCTGTAGGGGAACACGCCCGACCTAATGTTTGGATGGTCTCGGACGTTTTCGTCGGTTCCGTACTGTTCCATGGCGCTCCTGCTGGCTCGTGGAGATTTTTGCAGCGTCGGGATGTCTTCCAGCAGCTGCGCCCCCGCCGAGGGCGTGCCGGGAGAGAGCCCAGAGCACCCCGAGCGGACGCCGGAGGGCCGGGTGTGGTGGCCCCGGAGGCGAGAAGGCACGGGGGCTCCCCGCGTCGCAACGACAATTCAGTCGGGCACGTCCCTCTACAGGAGGAATATTCGAAAATAGCAAAAAAAATAGCAAAAAAATAGCAAAATAACAAACAACTAGCAAAATAGCAAAATAGCCAAAAAAAAATAGCAAAATAGCAAAAAATAGCAAGAATACCCTCGGGAATATTCGAAAATAGCAAAGAATAGTCCAGGGACGATGTTACTATTTTTGAACATTTTGGGGGTTCTGTTAAAACAGGAACTCGTCCAAAATTCGCCTGTAGTGGGGCTTTGGTTTCTGGGAGCCCTTGCTGGGATTTCCTGATAGTCGAAAAGCGGCGTCTACGGTGTGAAAAACAGCGACGTCGGAGGTCTGGGATGCCGTCGCGGCTTGGGCACCGAAGGTACGGGACCTCACGTCGCGGCGATGTCACGACGGAAGGTGTTCGGCCGGCTTCGGGCTCTGGGGGTCCTTGTCGGGATTTCCCGAAAGTCAAAGAGCGACCTCGAAGAGCGATTAGGGGTGAAGGGTTGGTCGTTTGATAAGGTGGTCGAGACCTCTGGGCGGTCCAGGGCGTGAAAAGCAGCGACGTCGGAGGTCCGGGATGCCGTCGCGATCTAGGCACCGAGGCGCGATCCCACTGAGAGGCGCTCCGCGCGGGGGCACCCACGCAACGCCACGCCGGCATCCGTGGGGCCGCGGCCAAGGAGCCCAGGCCACGAGGTCGAGGCTGTGGATGTGGAGGCGTTCTTCCTGCCCACCACTCAGAGGAGAAAAACGGACCGATACCTCACAGCCCACCAGCACCACCCCAACCCAACCCGAAGGCCCCGATGTGCCATCCATCTCCAGAGGAGGGGTGTGTGTCGGGGAGCATGGAAATCACACACAAGCATGGAACCCGTAGCTCCACCTCAACCCGAAATTCGGTTTGGTCTTCACCGAGCGCGTTCCACTACTCGCAACTTGCCTACTCGCAAGAGACCGACAGCGCATGTCTTCCTTTCTGTTTTTAATCGTAGATCCCTCATGGCGGATCCCTGCCATTTCCGAGGAGTTACCTTGCGAGCAGTGGAACGCGCTTGTCCAGGTCTGGTAGGTCTGGTAGGTAGTCAATACCAGGACCCTTGCCGATCCTCGCGGCGGGAGAGGCCCTCCTGCAGGAGGGGCTCGTGTCTCCTCCGCCGGGTTCGCTACGGGATCTGGAGTCAGGCCGCGCTCCAGCAGGAGCCCGGCGAGTGGCGGTGCTCAGCCACGCGCAGAGTGGGGTGAGGGAAGGGGGGAGGGCTTCTCAGAAGCACCCCTGCTTCTTAGAAGGCGCGGGCCTTATCTATAGATGTGAGGCCGGCGCCTTCTAAGAAGCAGCCTCCTTCCAAGAAGCCCCCCCCCCCCTCCCTCCACCCCCTCGTGCGCGCCGCCAGCTCCCTGCTGGCCCAGGTTCTGCCTCTTCAACAACGTGGCCGTGGCAGCCCGACACCTCCAGCAGCAGCACGGGCTCGAGCGGGTCGCCATCGTGGACGGGGGCAGGGGGTGGAACACCTAGTGAATCAGGGCCCGTGCTGCACACTGCCATATATCCGCCGTCCCACTTGGGCTAGGCCTTGCGGTTTGCGTGTTCTCCTGATAGTGCGCACCATGGCTTGCGGTCGAAATTAGCCTGAGGTGGCCTGGCGTTGAAGTATACTGTCCCTCTGTCAGAAGAGGGCCAGTTGAGACAACTGTAGTTGGCCTTGGGGGTGTGGGCTCGACGCCTCGGCTGGACGCAGCTCGGGCAGTTGGTGAGTTTGGACCCTGGGAGGCGTCCAGGGACCGGTTCTGAGCTGCCGTTGTCTCAACACGCCCTGCTCCGACTCCAGCCTTAGGATTGGGACGTGCACCACGGCAACGGCACCAACGACGTCTTCGCGGAGGACGAGAGCGTGCTGTTCTTCAGCATGCACCGCTGGGCTGGGGGCCCAGTTGGCCCCGCCTGCCGACCCACCACGGCTTCGCCCGATCGATCGCCAGCGGTCATGTCGTGCAGCAGGGTGGAGGATCGCCAGGCTCGAGGCTCGATGGACAAAGAACGGCATGAATGTAATGTCTCGGAGGATTGTCCGGATTTCTTGGAGCGGCGCTGGGCCGCCGTGGTGGCGCCTTTGGCGCCGCCCCTGACTTTTTCCGCACGAGGTAGGGGGTCCAGCGCCGATCGAAGAAATCCGTGCGCACGTCAGAGAAAGTGTGCTTATTCAGTTTGTTGTTCCTCGACTGATTGCGTCTTCTATAGGCGAGTGGGCGCCTCAACCCTGGGAGGTGTTGAGCGTGCGGGGATCGTCGGGGCTCAGAGGAGGAGGAGGAGGAGGAGGAGGAGGAGGAGGAGGAGGAGGAGGAGGAGGGTGCCTGAGCCCGCCGTGGGCCTGTAGGGGCTGGCAGGCTGAATGCGTCTCTCAGCAGCCAGTGGCTTTCCGTCCTCGCCCAGCCGTTGACATTGGAGCCAAGGGAGGAGGAGGGAGGAGGGGAGGGGGACCGAGGCTCGAGGGCCGAGGCTCCTGGACCTCTCTGGCCCCTATTGGGGGGGGGCTTCTGGGGGTGTGCCCCCGTCCCCACGGCCGTGTCCGCCCCAAGTCTTCTTGGTGGGGGCGCACCCGTGGACAGGGGGGTCGCGTCTGTGAGGCAGTAAGGAGAGGAGAAGGATGACGAGGAGGAGGAGGAGGCGGCGGAGGAGGAGGAGGAGGAGGAGGAGGAGAGCGGATGGGCCGAATGCAACTAGCGCTAGTGCATCGATCTCGGCGCCCTTGTGGTTGCAAATCGATGCATCTTGCCATCGCGAATCGAACCCTGCGACTCAGAGCTCTGGGGCTCTGGGGCTTATCCAAGTCTCGAGATAAAGCCCAACAACATGAAGCGACACGCAGCACAGCAGTTTGCAAGGAGGAGAGGAGGAGGGAGGAGGAAGAGGAGGAGGAGGATGAGGAGGATGAGCAGGCAGAGGCGGAGGCGACGGAGGAGGCGGAGGAGGAGGAGGAGGAGGAGCAGGAGGAGGAGGAGGAGGAGGAGGAGGAGGAGGGGGAAGCGGAGGAGCAGGAAGTGTGGAGGAGGAGGAGGAGGAGGAAGAGGAGGAGGAGGAGGAAGAGGTGGCTGCTCCCACGCCCTAGACTTCAGGAGATGTCAACAGATCCCCCCGCCACTCAGGATCATTGGATCCACCCGCCCCACGATCGAGGTGAGGCGGCCATGGTGACGAAACCAGCCATGGTCGCGGCAGGAAGACCGGTCAAGCCGCCAAGGCCCTGGTGGGAGCCCAGAGTCAGACGCCGGGCGACGGTTGGCAAACTCGTGGTTGCTAAAACGGAGCTCCGGGAAATTGTTTGTTCTTCCAGGAGGCAGCCCGTTTACTATTCAGTGCGCTGAGCTTGATTCCGGGAATTTGTTTTTTCCGGGAATACCGTTTTAGCAGCCTCGGATTTGCCAATTTTTGCCCAGCTTCCGACAGAGGAGCCGACCCATCAGCCTGAGAACCAGGTGGCCCCTCCCTGGCGAGTTCGAAGGCCAAACGAGAGCGCTGGCGTGGGCGGATCGAACAAGTCATTCCCCCTCATCGTCTCTCCGCCTCATTCGCAGCCTCATCCTCCTCACTGGCTCTCTCCTGTAACCCTCCACCTCTCTGTCATGTTCCCCTCCCTCTTGGTCTCTCCCGACTACGTTTCACGCCTCCATCCTCTTTGCCCCTCTCCTCACCTCCTCCCCCGCGCGCCTCCTTTTCCTCCTCATCCAGTTTCGAGGAGAGGGGCCGAGCGCAGAGTATGCCCACATCATTGGGAAGACAACATTGGATGCCAGCCGTGCTCCGAAGCGTTGGCAGCAACACCCTCGGAGACACAGAAACATCACATCGGAAGCATGTGTCACTGAGAATGCGGGAGCCCTGCAGCCCAAGCTCTCAGCCAGGGTTCCCCAAGTCGTAAGCCCCAGGCCTTCATTCGCGGAAGCCTTGGGCCTGACTCGTCGCGATTTCAGCTGTGAGCCCGAAGGCCTCAGTCTTGAGTTCTACACCTGCAGGCCCTCAGCCATGAGCGCCCTGAGCCCTATCACCTACGTGTCTCCTAAGCCCTCCATCGTGGGCTTTCAGCCCTGCCAGCAACCCTGCCAAGGAGAAGACCGGCTTCTTCCCCGGCTCGGGGGTCCTGGAGGAACGGCTGCACGCAATCGGGGGCGGCAAAGAGGGGGGTGATGACTAGCGGGGGTGGATATCATGGCGTGGGACATGATATTTCCTAAGATTTCATGCCGCCTCTTCTTATTTCGTTACGTCCCTGGCCCCCCCTTGGGCCGCGCACATGCTGCCGGCCATGATTTGCATCCGCCCCTCTTGGACGCCCCCCTCTTGGCCTCCCCCGACGCAAGACTGACCCTTCTCCGCAGTGACCTCTGGTGCGGGCCCAGATGGGGTCCCCGCCAGCACTGGCTGGCGCGCTGGGAGTTGGCCCCCCCAGAGGATCGCGCCGCATCTCCGCTGCATCAGTGATGCATCGGCGACGTCGGCGATACATCGGCGCCGTTGGCGCCCCACATAGAGCCGCATCGCCGCTGCATCGGTGATGCGGCGTGATCCTTCGACCCCATCTGCTCGGACCCCAGTTGGAGGCCTGGGCATCTGAGCCCGCGGAGCGCCTCAGGCCGCAGTTCCCCAGAGGCCCAGCGGCCCCCGGATCCTGCGCACCGAAGGCCACTGTGGTCGGGCGCACGGCAGCGGGGGGGCAATTCGCGTTGGGGGATCGAGTGCAGCAGGAACGTGGCCCTAGAGGGGCCTGGAATGGCCCCCAAACTGCCACCGCCGGCGCGCATGCGAAAGGTGCAAGTCTCTTCATCCAACGTTCATTGCCCCCCCTTTTCATCCAGGCCTCGCAAATGGGGTCCGAGTAGATGGGGTCGGAGGATCGCGCCGCACCGCAGGTGAATCGCAGATGCATCGGCGATGTGGAGCCCGATGTTCTCCAAGCCGACGGCGCCGATGCACCCACCGCCCGCACGGCCACTGCATCGGGGATGCATCAGCGATGCAGCGCGATTCCCCGACCCCATCTGCGCCGACTCCATCGAGGAGGTCTCTAGTTAATGAGCACCCGAGCCCGAGAGGACGCCGGCAAGGGTGACGCGCGGGGCCTCACGGTCAACGTGCCCCTGGACAAGGCCGCGGCTGGGCCACTCGCCGCCTGCCCCCCCCCGCTCGTGCGCCTCGGGGCGGCGCAGTCCGCCATGTCCTCGCGTCGTGAAGAAATCGCGCTCGGCAGTTTTCGGCTTCTGGGGGCCCTCGCCCCAGGCCTCCCCAGACGGGGTCCGAGTAGATGGGGCCGGAGGATCGCGCCGCATCGCCGTTGCGTCGTCGATTCGTCGGCGACGGTTGTGATGCATCGGCGACGACGGCGTGGAGAAAATCGGGCTCCACATCGAGCAGCCTCGCCGATGCATCGGCGATACGGCGCGATCCTCCGATCCCATCTACTCGACCACCATCTAGGAGGCATCTACGGGCCCGGGACCGTCAACAAAAAGTGCTCGGGATGAACCCGTTGCCGTTTTGGCTTTAGCAGCGCTGGCTCGGTAGTTTGTGTCAGACCTTTCTGTTGCAGCCCTCCTTCTTGCTTTGATGGATTTGTGTGTTGGCTCGGGCATTTGGGTCAAGCATAGGGTGATTCATGCAATCCATCTGCAGATTGGCCGTGCAAACTCAGTTCAACGCTGATGGTGCAAATCCGCGGATATGTTTGGGCATAACTCGCAGTTTGGTGATACCTGCGTCAAGATTCCAGACAATATTGGATGGTCTTTCAAAGCCATGCCTAGCACGGCAGGCATACCACGGTGTCGACCTGGCTTCCCTAAGACCGTCGACTAGAGGTGATCTGCTGGCGAGGGTTGTGCGCAGATTGCAATGTGGAGAGGGGACGTATCAAAAGACAGCGGATCCCGTCCCTGGTTTCTGCTTTGATGGCACGTTTCGTGGTTCGGCAAGGGCCGAGTACGATTGGCAGTATCAAGGTCGACGCATCGAGTGCAAGAGCTCAATGATGCATTGGAGTTCGAACAGGTGGTCGTTTCGCTTCTCCGGGGTCAAATTAACGAGCTCAGGTGCGCGAAGGACAGCTTTATTCGACGATCTTATCATTGTCCTGGTTACCCCTTGTAGAATCCACGTCTATCAACACGATTTGGCACACGGTGTCTCTCGTACAGGTGTGAGAACGACAACAAGTGGTCATGATGTATGTCTGTATGGTCCCATTGGCGAAAGTTCTTGGAAACGAGCCGCAGACGACATTTTCCGCAAGCTCGATAACAGCGATTGCGAATATATCGCGGACCTGCCGTTGAGTCATGATTATGTGCATGCAGAGATGGCTTCCTTAGCATTGGCAGCGTCTCCTTACCTCATGAGCAGTGCATATAAGCAAGTGCCTTTGGCAACATTAAGTCCAGTCGTGCGTGGGAATAGCCTTCGAAGTTTGGTGCGCATGTTGGATACTGTCTTGCATCCTGGAAGCGCCCTCGAGGAACCCATTGTCAACACACGCATCAATGGTAGTATGCGATCGCCGAATCAGGCTGCGTACCATTGGTCCCGAAATGGCCACAGGGTGGCCTGCAAGTGCGCAGCACTGTCTTGGGATCATATTCATAATCGGTGGAGACTGGTTTTCTCACATGTGAAATTATATCAAGACCGAGTTCCCAGTGTTGAAGAACTACTGATTGCCATGTACACTCCGAGAGGATTGTACATCTACAAACATGATCTGGAGTTCGGCATGTCATCAAGTGGTATACTCACTGAGAGTCGCGGACGTCGCATCTACATTGGTGGCCCCGTTGGCCAGCAGTGTTGGTCAGAGGCACTCGAGTCGATATTGCAAAAGCTGGGCGCATCTGGTTGCGAGCGGATTGCTTTATTGCAATGGTGAAATAAGAGGGGGCAGTCAAGCAAAAACGAGTGGGGATGAACAACCAGACCTCTGCAACAGGACCAGGCCTCTGGGAAGTCACGCTGCGAACAAGCGCACGCGGTCGGATGTCTGGGCAGCCGCAGCGGCCCCAGATGAGGGAGAACGGCCACAGCCGATGCGGCAGGGATCGCGCTGCGTCTTTGGAACCGGCCCCAGTGTCAGAAGGGAGACAAATTCCGATATTGGTGCCCTTCTCTTTTTTGCTGCGCTTCTCGGGGCTTCTCTGGGGGGGTCCTCGCATCCACGGCTGGCTTCGCCTCGGACTTACTGTCGGAACCCACCCCGATAGAGATCGGGGCACTAGCGGTATGGGTATCTTCTTGTGCCCCCCCGCAGCGCGGGCGTTCAAAGTTAGACGCTGCTTGTTGCCCTGAATCGGCCGACATCGAAGGATCTGCGCTGCGCTACCGGAAAGCCGCGAACTCTCAAGGTTGAACGGTTCACATTGTGTCATAAACAATTGCCGACGTCATCGCCCCGCACGTGAGCTTGCCGTACCCATGCCTCCACTCCCCCTCCAGACTCCCTCGCGTCGTATCAAAATCACGTCAGGAGGCTTTGGGCAATCTTCGACGTTCAGGTCCCCTTAACAGGCCCCAGGGACGTCGAAAAAAACTCAGGATGATAAGCCAGCATTTGCGTGCCAGGGGCCCATGGTGCGAACGAACATTACGATGCCGAAGCTTGGTGCCTCACTTTTCTCTCCTTAAAGGAGAAGGGGGAAGAACGGGGCGACCGCAATGATCCGAAGGAAGAATGCCATGCCAACGAGTTCGCCCGATGGCCAGTTCGCGTTCACCCCATTTGGCCATCCTGCAGTCGCGTGGTGGCAATCTCACGGCCAGCCAATCCAACTACATCAGGACGAAGCAGCACCGGCGTGCATAAACATAGTGTTTCGAAGGTCCGCGCGGATGTATCGGATCTGTGATGGACCTTCGAAAGCTTATGCGTGTAACCGCCTCGGTTGTTTCCCTCCCAGAGGGCTACGGCAACGCGGACGTCGAGCACGTGTTCAGATATGTGCTGTGCCCGCTGCTGGCCAAGTTCAGGCCCGATGCCATCCTGGTGTCTGCCGGCTTCGACGCCGTGAAGGCGCCTCTTCCTTCTCTCGAGGAGGACCCCCTGTGCCTCCCCCGGCTCCGAGGCACGACTCCCGGGCAGATGGGCGTCCGTGCCAGCCCCCGTCGGACGAGCTGCAGGCCTGGGATCGGTCGCTCGACCTTCGGCTAGTCCCCTCGCACATTCTGCAGGGCGCGAGCGGTGGGGTGCAGCGGACGTCGTTCCCGCGAGGTGGTTGGGATAGCTTCGGATGCAACTCCTGGGAGGTCAAATTCAGACTTCGCCCTGGGCCGAAATTCTGTTTAATCCTGTTGAATCCCGCCTGCTCTGGCTTGATCCCGCTTCATCCCGCTTACTCCCGCTTCATCCGCGGCCTAGTCCGGCGTAGCAGCCCGCCGATGAGGCCTGATTACATAATGTTGTGCTATTCCACTCCAATCTTCCGACGAAAGCCTCCCAGCAGCTGCATCCTAAGATAGGCAGGCCGCGAGCGGTGGGGTGCGGTGGACGTCGTTCCCTAACCAGCCTGGAACTGATCACTACCCCTGAGATGGGCAAGCCAAAAGCGACGACAATCTTAGGGATAGGCCCTCAGACAATGAGGGAATCCTTAAGATCGGTGTCGAGGTAAGGTGATGCCGAGCGTATGGATAGGGATATGTTTCAAACTGGTAATTTCCGCGAGCTGGGGGAGGAGCTCTTGCAGCGACCCCCGAGGTGCGGGTGCGGCTGCGTGCGCCCGGCTTCCGCAGCTGTCGCTGCTCCTGCCACCGGGGGGGGCCCTTTGGGGACACCGCAGCGGGCTCGTGGCGTCCGCCCCCAACGGCCAGGGCCACACCCTTGAAGCACGCGTGATGGCGTAGCGGACATGCACAAGGGCTCCCACGAGGGCGCGAAGTTATTCGCGCTTCGCGGTCCTCGTTCCTTCTTCCCCCTCCTCCTCGTCCTCCTTTTCGCCCTTGGGGGGGGGCGGCGCGAGAGCGGGAGGTTATTCGAGTTTCGCGGAGCGCGAAGCGCGAAGTTGGGAGCCCTAGATGCAGTGGAGGCTCAGGCCAAGAAACACCTTGCTTGCTTCCAGGGTGCCCTGGGTTTCTTGGGTTTCGATGGTGTTGCCGTGGGAGGCGTGACGTTCCCAGGCCAAAAATCAATGGACGTTCCGGAGTCTCAGGGTTGGGTTTCTTGTGGAAGGTGGTCGGGCCTCCAGTGTGTCTCTTGCTGTGCGAAGTGCTGGACGTTTCGGAGGCAGCTTGCAGCTTGGAGCTACACACAGTGGAGAGCCGTGCGGAGAGGAGGGGGAACCAGAAGGGAGGGAATCGGAGGAGCTGGAGGAGGAGAGGGAGGGATAGAAGGGGGGAGGAGGAGACGGAAGAGCAGGTTGAGCAGGATGAGGACGGAGGATGACGTGGAGTATGATCCAGAAGGAAAGAGAATGATCAGGAGGCTTACCACAGGATGAGGAAGACGTTCTGGGACAGGTTGTCACTTGCAAAGGAACAACATCGCCCAGCAGTTGGTCAACAGTAGCAACACTCCTAAAGGCCAACACTCATTTGACACTAGGTGCTATGGGGTTCATCCATGGGAAGGTTGAATACTTGATATACGCATGGGGTTTGATGATGGTGCTGGTCCATGGGGAACTTTCGGCCAAGCTTCGAGAATGCCCTCGGTTCGAGACTGGCAGCCGGCGGCTGGCCATTGAGTAGTGGGGATCGCGCCCTGCCCGACCATAAACCGTCCTGGGGTGTTGTGGAGGGCGCGCGGCCTACCGCAAGGGAGGGCCTGCCCAACAGACAGCTGGAAAACCACAGGGCTGGAGCAGGCAGCAAGAAAGCCGGACGGGCCCAGCAGAACGCAAGCTCACCAGTCACCAGACGGCCTGAACAGATAGCCAGCATACCAGGCGGCCTGAACACACAGTTGGAAACGACAGCTGGGACACCTGGGGGCCTGATCCGACAGCTGGAAATCGATACAGGACAACTGCCACATTTATGTTGAGGATGAAAGGCCTGCGTGCCTCTTATTACACGCTCTCATGCCACGCAGTTCGAGGAAGCGTTCGTGGCGGCAAGCCGTGCCTCGGCTAAAACCAAGTAAGCACGTTTTTGATGGAGGAGGAATAGTATGAGAAAGGAACAGGGAAGAGGCAGGAAGGATGACGAGCATGGGGAGGAGGGGAGAAAGGAGGGAAGGTGAGGGATATGATGGATGAGGACCAGGAGGGACGAGGCAAGAGGAGGAGGAGGAGGAGGAGGAGGAGGAGGAGGAGGAGGAGGAGGAGGAGGAGGAGAAGGAGGAAGAGTTTGAGGAGCAGGAGGAGCAGGAGGAGCAGGAGGTGGTGGAGGGAGGAGGAGAGGAGGAGGAGGAGGAGGAGGAGGAGGAGGAGGAGGAGGAGGAGGAGGAGGAGGAGAACGAGGAGGTGGAGGAGCCAGCGGACCTCCGCACGCGGTGCCAGCCTCCTTTGCTCTGTGAGTGTCGAGTGGCACGAGGTTCTAGGCAAAAGGACAGGAAACTGCCTCCACATGCCCAAAACGCAGACACCCGACAGTAGTTGCTCAATCCGCGGTTCCAGAGCTCCCGACCCCTTGCCCAGGGGGCGTTATTCGTGACGGGTCAGTTCTTGATTGTCTTCGGGTTCGAAATCGTGAGTCAGAAATTAATTCAAGTGGTTTGCGCCATTCCGCCGACTCCCAGAGGAGAAACGAAGTCCACTTGTGGGGCCTCTTGCCTCTTGGAAACCGTTTGAGGGGCCTATTGGGACAACTTCCGGGCCTCTTGAAGCCTCTTGTGGGTCTGTTGGGCGCCTGCTGGCGGTTGGGGCGGAGGGCCCGAAATGGAAGTTCGAGATCCCCCTCTTGGGGCCCTTTTGGGACCCTCGTGGGCCATCTTGGACGCCTCTGGGGCCCTTCTGGGGCTCTCTTGGGCCGTCTTGGGTATTGGGGCCCTCTTGGGGATCTTTCTGGCCGTCCAGGAGCGATCTTGGGGGCCTCTTGAACCTCTTGGACGCTGTTGACACCAAAAGGGTGAATGCTGAAAATGCAAGTGTTCCTTTGGAATGGGGGCGATTCGGGCCTCGAGCTCTCTGGGGACGTCTAGGAAGCTTTTTGGACCGTCTTGAGGCTATCCTTGTTGTTTCTGAGGTCTCCGTGGCATGCTGGAGCCCAACTTGAGCAGACTTTGATGGAATCTTCGGCATCTTGGAGGCCGCGGGATGTCGAAATTCAGGCTCCCGAGGCCCCGGGGGAGCGCTGAGGACCCCGGAGACCCCCTTTCCGTGGGGGAGGGGGAGGACAGCCAGTCATCTCACACGCCTTTGCACCCCCAGCAAGCCCCTGGGCGAGCGAAGCCACTGGTAATTAGGCGGCCAGAGGCGCGGGCGCCCGCTGAGAGCCGCAGGCCGCTGGTGTGGGCCTGCTCGGCGGCGTCCTTAAGGGGAGGGCCAAGCAGGTACCAGCAGGCTCCTCCTCCTCCTCCTCCTCCTCCTCCTCCTCCCTCCTCCTCCTCCTCCTCCTCCTCCTCCTCCTCCTCCGTAGCCATTTTGGCTCAAGATGCCTAGTTCCGCAGGGGAACAAGTGGATACCGCTAGTCCGCGGCCAGTGCCAGGGCTCTTGAGCCCGACAGCTTTGTTCAACTCTCCGTGTGCCTCCTGCCGCCCGCAGGTGAGCTTTCTCTGTTCCTCAGCTCGTCCATGGCGCCTCCGCAGCAGCGCAGCGCCTACGTCAAGTGCTACTCCTGCTCGTATGCCTGGAACTGGAAGACCAAGCAGACGTGCTACTGGTGTAGCAAAGCCTTGGCGCCGTGGACAGATGCCCCGCCTCCGGTTCAAGGAGCATGGGCGGCCCGCGTCACAGCCGCAGCCCAGGCCGAGTCCAACTGCAAGGGAGGATGGGAACCGTGGTCTTCATGGCCCAAGTCCCGCCGCCGCCGCAGCAAGGGCAACGGCAAGGACCAAGAGGACGACTGGTGGGCCAGCAAGAACGACACCCCCAAGGCTCGCTCCGCAGAGGACATCCTGGCGGAGCTCCAGGCGATCGCCCCCCACATCGACAAGGCAGCCATCGACGGCATCAAGTCGCAGATTCCGCCGCCCCAGCCGCAGAAGCCAGCCGACCTCAACGACATCTACAGCCGCGCCCAGGCTACGGAGCGCCGCTGCAAGAACAACCTGGAGAGGCTGCTCGAAAGCGAGCAAAAGGCGCTCAGCTGGTACACCGAGCGCAAGCAGGCGTCGGAGGAGGCCGCCTACAAGTTGGCAGAAGCCCAGGCCGAGGCCCAAGCGGCTCTCGATGCACTCCAAGCCGCTCGCAAGGGCGGCACAGCTACTCCCACGCCGTCGCAGCAGAACCCGACGTTCAACCTCACCAGCCTCCTCGAGGACGGCGACATATCCATCGAAGCGGGTTCGGCGTTCGATCTCCAAGGCCTCGACATCGACGACAGCGACCGCCAAGCTTGGGAATCCCTCCAACAGCGCTTCGCCACGGAGCTCAAGGCCAAGGTCACGGAGCTCTTCGGCAACACCGCCAGCCGCATCAGCCAGCTCCGCGCAGAGGCCAGCACCATGCGCACGCGCTTCGCCTCCAAGCGACAGCGGTCTGACGAAGATGGACACGCCAGAGAGGGAGGTGGACCACCGCCCGCCGCCTCGGCTGCAGCAGGCGAACCCCCAGCGGCAGCCGCAGCGGACGCTGAGGGCACTGCGGCCTCTTCGCCAGCGGCGCCAAGCGATGAGCCTCCCGCACCTGCTGCTGGCGCTACTTCTGACGGCAGCTATGCCACACAGCCTGTACCAGCGATCAACAAGGACCCCGACCTCGAAGACAAGGCACAGAAGATGCTCAGCCAGGTGCGCAAGCCCACTGCGACCGCCGCGGCTGGAGCGCAGCAGCCTCTTTAGCCGCCTACAACCCGACCCTGGACGGAATGGTGAGACGGGACGCCTACCGTCAGAGACCAAGAGCTATGACAACCCACCGATCATCAATACAATGGACGCAGTCCTCGACCCGTTCGACGAGCTGGCCGAGTTGGACGCCCACATCGACTTCGCAGTCACAGATCAGTACGCTACCGCCCCGCCCGAGACGCTGTCCTCGGTAGGGGGCGATGAGGCGGCACAGTCCGTCGACCCCGTGGCATGGGACCCAGGGCAGCCGCAGCGTGATGCGCGCGCCGACCCTGATGCCGCTCCGCCCGAGACGCTGTCCTCGGTAGGGAGCGATGAGACGGCCCAAGCTGTCGACATGCATGTGGCACAGGAACCAGGGGAGCCTTCGCCAAAGGCAAACCCTGATGCCGCCCCGCCCAAGACGCAGTCCTTGGTAGGGGGCGATGAGATGGCGAAAGCTGTCGACATGACCGCAGGGAAAGGCTCATGGAAGCCCAGCAGCCCGAGAGCCGACCCCAGACCCGCCTACCAAGACGAATGCCCTACGAAGCCCACGCTGTCAGATCACTCCCTGTTCTTCTCCAACATTACTCAGTGGGGGCCACAGTCGGAGAAATGGCTGGCAGGGCCAGGCAAACAATATCAGATGGTAGCATTGGTTGAAACGCACATCTCGCCTGGAAAAGCGCCGCTCATCTACGACAAGCTAGCAGCGGACGGTTGGAGGATATCATCGACTACGGCCACGCCTACCAGCAGATCAGACGGAGGCAACACGGGTGGCGAGATCATCCTTTCCAGGTACCATGTCCAGGCCACCACGTTCAACCACCTCCGTGACCTTGCCATCTCCCAGCGCAGGCCCGACCCGTGCCGCGGCTTCGCGCCCATGGTATGGCGCAGACGCTCTGGCAACCTGGTCGTTATTGCAGCGCATCTGGAACCCCACAGGCAGATCGAGGGTGCAGTGCACGATAAGCTACTTTCGCTGGGAGCCTTCGTTACTATGCTCACGGACCCTTGGATCATCCTGGCCGATTGGAATATGACACCTGAGCAGCTCGCAGCGACAGAGTGGCTCGCCAAATGGAATGCTACCATCGTGCGAGCGCCTGGACCCGCCACGTGCGACAAGGGCCAGGGACTCACGCTTGATTTCGCATTGGTCAAGACTGGCATCGAGCACACGATCTCCATTCGCCAGTGCCCCACCGTACCCTGGGCCACCCATGTTGGCCTTGAAGTTCGAGCAGGCAGTGCAGACCCCTGGTGGTATCAGTCGATCCATACTCCCAGGGCATTCCCCACAGTGGACAGACCCAGGATCCCACCAGACCCCAACAGCAAGACCGCCATTAAGAAACGTAAAACAGCAGAAGCTCGAGCAGCACGCCTACGCGATCTACCTCCTGAGCTCCAACAAGCAGCAGCACAACTCCAGCCACAAGACGAGCCCGCAGCACAGGTACCTATCCCTTATGCTATCCCGATGGACTTGTGGGAAGAACAATGGCAGGAAGCGGTACCCACACGTTGTAAGCAGCCTCACGCGCACTTCGCGTACAGACACTGGGTGCGCGACGCCGACGACCTCAACCTCAAGTACGCCAAATGGGTCACGGCGCTCGAGAACACCATGATCAGCCACCACCAGATCGACCCGAAGGAAGCCGCAGCATACACAGGCCGAGCCCAAGGCTACCAGTTATCTTGGAAGAAGACAGCCGCCGCCCCAGGCCGCGTACACGTACGTGACCCTCAGTCGGAATGGTGGGCAATCACGCTCACCCTCATCAAGCGCTACGCTGCGCTTCACGACAAGCCCAAGCACACAGCGCTCATGCAGCAGCAGGCCTCCATCATCCAGCAGCGCGCGGACCACTTCAACACTCACATGCACGACCTCCAGTTCGAGAAGGATGAGGACACCATCTTCCGCTGGTTTGCACTCCTCTGGGCCCCGCACTTGGACAAGGATGACACCGACGACTTGGTCACTATTACCGCTACTTGGGCCTCCAGAGCGCTCTCCGCCGCCCTCGCCAAGTCCAAGAGGGCCTACGGGGCTTGGCTCGCCAAGCAATGGAAGCACCGCCCTGGAGTACTACACGCCCATGTCAAGCCAGCGCCCGTACGTCACATCGAGGCCTACACGACCAACCTGACCATCGCCGACCCCACCGTTATCATGGACAACAAGAAGCAACAATGGCAACAAGTATGGCAAGCCACCGAGACCCCCGACGACATCCTACAGGCCCTGCCAAAGGCCAAGGCAGCAGCCGCTCGTCAACCGCTCGAGCCCATCACAGCCGAGATCGTACACCGCTTTCACGGCCGCATGCCACCCAGTAAAGCACACGGAGTTGACGCCCTAGGGCCTCGCGACCTCCATCGACTACCAGAACCAGCAGTCGAAGCTTATGCAGATATCCTCAACTCAGTAGAGCAAGCAGGCATCTGGCCACTACAAATTTCAGGCACTATTGCAGCTCTCGCCGCCAAGAAGTCTGGAGGCGACAGGGTCCTCGGCATGCTACCTCATATGGCCAGACTCTGGTCTCGCATTAGATCGACTGCATCGGCAGCCTGGACGCAAGGACTGGACGACTTTTGGACTACAGCCATCAAAGGCTCCTCAGCTCTCCAAGCCGCCCTACATAGGGCCTTGTTAGACGAGACAGCCTCAGCACTTGGCATACAGTCGGCAACCTTGCTATTAGACATCCAGAAGTTCTACGACAATATTAAGCTCGCCAACCTCATCATGGTCGGCCTCAACTGCGGCTTTCCCCCCATCATTCTATTACTGGAAGTGCAGCTATACATGGCGCCCAGATTCTTGCGCAGTCGACAATGGGTGAGTATGCCTATCTTCGCCTCCAAAGGCATCATTGCAGGCTCCCCTCACGGCACCACCTTGGCACGACTCATTTTACTACCAATTCTACGGCAAGCCCAAGCGCAGGCAGAGCTTGCCCAGATGTGGACCTTCGTAGACGACACTGTTCTTCGAGTCGAAGGAGTCCTACGTGCTCTACAGAAGCACCTCCCCCGTGCCGCCAAGACGCTCTGCGACGGTTTAAAGGAGTTCGAGCTGCCTGTCTCAGACAAGACTGTCCTCATCGGCTCCACCCCCAAGGTCCGCCAATCGCTAGCCAAGAAGATGCGGCAGTACGACATCCCAGTTACTGCGACCGCCACGGCCGTCGACCTCGGAGTTGACGCGGCAGCGGCTACTCGACGGGTACAAGCCAAAGCCAGGAAGCGACAGAGCTCAGCCACAGCTAGGTCCCAGAAGGAGTATTCGGACATCAGGTGCACGGCCTCGCTCGGCACGCTCTACTACGATGGCGGCGTCAGGCCGCCATTGCTGCCACGGGAGCAGCAGCGGGCCGATGCCTCACTTCCCTCCTCGGCGCCACCTTTGACGGCATGGACCCAGGAGTTTCCCTAAGGATCGAATTCATCGAGGCTTGGCTTCAGCACTGGATACGCCACCCGAGCACGCACGCCAGGATCATCAGAGCCTGGCCAAGGATCAAGACCACCTTGCTCGCCGCAGGCCCCAAGCTGTGGTGCAAGGTCAAGGGACCCACAGGCGCGGCCATCGCGACCCTGCTGGAGGCCAGTTGGGAGCCGACCTCAGCTACCACGTGGAGGCGTACGAAGGACGGCTACATTGAGGAGTGGAACCTCCCCCCTGCCGATGACCCTGACCTCCTCGACGCCGACATCCGCACAGTATTGCAGGACCTCAGCGAGGATTTACACAGGCTCCTCTGGACCCGGGCCGCTACGCATGCCCATGGCGACACGCTGGCTGGAGGCGCAGACATGGTCACTATCCGCATTGAACAAAGGAGGTTCCTCGCAAACGGTGACTTCAGCGACTGGGCCCTCAACAACACCATCATCAGCGGAGGACAATGGACCAGAGACCGCCTCCACAACGCGGGCTACCAGATCGACAAGAATTGCGACCGATGCAGCGCTGGAGTTCCTGAAACCTTGTTTCACCGAATGTGGCAGTGCGAGGCGAATGTGGGACCCGAGTTTGAGGCCAGTGACAAGTTACTACCGCGAGCCGTGGCGGGGGTCGACGCCGACCCCGCCTTGTGGCTCCGTGGCATTCCCTCTGTCGCTCTCACTACGCCCGCGTTCGAGCCATTGACTGGGAGGGACGGGTGGGAGTTTGTTGGTGCGGTGCGGGAGGGACTGCCGTCGTGGGAAGGAGCTCGTAACGCTGAGGGCGAGTTGTTTCTTTTTGGTGACGGGTCTGGCGGAGCCTTCTCCGACGACGTCAGGCGACGGCGCGTTGGTTCTGGCCTCGCGGCCCTCCGATGGGACCCTCCCTCGGCCTCCTGGACCCTCCACGCGGGCCTCCTTGCCCCCCTCCCAGGCCCCCGCCAGACCGTCCCAAGAGGCGAATTGCACGCGTTTTGCCTGGCACTTGAGACGTGCCAGCAGGATTTCACGTTTGTTACAGATCACTTAGCCCTGCAGCGCGGTTGGCAGAATGGCAGATGTCTCAGACCAGGCAGCCTTAGGAGGTAAGAATAAGAATGGGGATCTCTGGCTGAGAATTCGGCACCTCGTGCAGGATCGACCTGGCGGCGGCTCCTCGGTCACGGTGCTCTGGACCCCATCTCACGCCGATCCCCAGACTTTGCATGGTTTCCAAAAATTTCTTGCTCTCGGCAACCAGCAAGCCGACGAGCTCGCGGGAAGCGCGGCCCACAAGTCGGCCACCCTTGCCCTCCCGCCTGTCCCCAGGACCGATGAATACGACGCTATCGCAGCCATTGTCCGTCAGAGGGCACGACTGATCCTACGTTCCTTAGGCAAGAATTCAGAGCCTCGAGGACTGTGGCCAGAGAGGCAACCCACCCAGGAGGCAGCCCCTCGTTCTCTGTTGCAGACCGCGATCGCGGCTTCTCAGCACAAATTCGAGCGGTGTGCAGACAAATGGCGATGCTCTGCCTGCCTCATCATCGTCGACGCTTGCCACGTTATTCCTGCTGCCGCCACGGAGTGTGCACCGCCTTGCCCCCTTCCCGAGTTTGCTGCGTGTGGCGAGGTGCTGTGGTCGCGGGGTCCCCGCGTGATCAGTGGCAAGGCGATACACCCCTCCCACATGTTGGCCACCATCCCCAAGTGGCAAATGTTCTTCTGTGTGAAGTGCGGCCACACGGCCACGCACCAGGTTAAAAGCCTACTTTTGCCTTGCCCTCTCTCCCACCAAGTGGGAGAGCGCAGGGCCCTGGGACCCACTGGCAAAGGCTTCGAAAACCTCAGCAGGATCAGGCGAGGCCTCCACCCGTCCAGATCGGGTCCCAGCAAGTCAGTTCTAGAGGCTTTGCACGTTTCGGCAGCCGAAGCCGCGATCGGTTCCTACGCGGCGGGTGCTGCCTCCGAGTAAATTGTGAGGCCAGGGGGGCCTGTCGCGGTGTGCCGTGGGATGTCGCCCCCCACGGCCCTCCGAGAAATATTGGATGGCCCCCCTGGCATCTCTGGGTTCTGAACGGACTACGTCCGATTGCTCCACTCCACTCCACTCCTCCTCCTCCTCCCCTCCTCCTCTCCTCCTCCTCCCTCCTCCCTCCTCCTCCCTCCTCCCCCTCCTCCCTCCTCCTCCTCCCTCCTCCCCCCTCCTCCTCCTCCCCCTCCCTCCTCCTCCTCCTCCTCCTCCTCCTCCTCCTCCTCCTCCTCCCTCCCCCCTCCTCCTGGCAGCTTTGGCAAGCGCCATTGTTGTAACAATCATATCGTCGGATTAGTGGGACGGGCGAAAAAGAGCCGGCGCTCGTTTTCTGCGATTCTGGAGGTTTGGGTTCTTCGTCCTCTTGCAAAGTAGACACCCCGGGCGTGTCTTGGGGTGTGCTCGGGCCAGCATGTCGAGGCGGGTTCGGCCACGGTCACGAGGCCCAACACGAGCCCAACGCGCAAAGCAGAACCATCGGACCCTCGAAGCTGCAGCCAAGACGTTAGAGCAAGGACGCGTTCGAGTTCATGCGGGGCTCTGGTTCTCGGACCTTTCCTCCGATCTGGGTCGGCGGCCCTGCTCTTGGCCGAGGCCCGCCGTGGCCAGAAGAGCCCCCTCCGCGCCTCCTCCTCTTCCTCCTCCTCCTCCTCCTCCTCCTCCTCCTCCTCCTCCTCCTCGCGTCCGCCGTGGTAGCACGACGACTGCAGGTCCTCGATCTTCCTTTTCCTCCCGACGAGCACCCTGGGCGACCCCTGGGGGGGGGAGGGCGCAGCAGGAGGAGGAGGACCGGCAGGTTGAGGGGCAGTAGCATTAAGTCGGGCGTGTCCCCCTTCAGGAGGAATATTCAAAAAGGATCGACAAGTAGCCCGGTGGTGATTTTGGGAGTATTTTTGCATTTGGGGGGTATTTCTGACTGTGTTTAGTTTTTCGTCCAAGCTCCGCCTGTAGGGGGACATGCCCGACCTACCAGCAGCAGGAGAGGGGCAGCGCCAGGAGCGGCGGGAGCAGCGGGGGGGCTGGAGGCCTCTGGCCGCGGGCCCCGCGCCAGCTGGTGGCCAGCGTTCAGGGGCAACGATGGGGTTAAGTCGGGCCTGTCCCTCTAGAGACTGTTTTTTCTAGGTCCAGCGATAACCCGGGTTATCGGGCTTGCCCCCCTCCCCCCCCCCTAGGATAACCTAACCTTGCCGGTTGAGCAGGTCCGGGGTGGGGGAGCGTAGGCATATGCAGGGCTGCCCACAGCGCGAAGGTTAGGTTATCGGCCGGCCTCCTCCTCCCCCCAGAAAACCCGGATTATCGCCGATTCCCAAAAACGTCTCCTACAGGAGGAATATTCAGAAATAGGCCAAAACATACTCAGGGAACGATTTTTCTCTATTGGTGAGTATCTTTGGCGTATGTTTAGGGTATTTGTTATTTTTCGTTCAAAATCCGCCTATCGGGGGACACACCCGACCTAACGATAGGGGGGGATAGGCAAGGGGTGGGGATGCATCGACCCCCAATCGTTAACGGGCGAAGAGCGGTACAAAATACGCTTTTTCGCTGTCGGGGGCGCTTGTCCCAGGGCGGCTGGAAAGTTTATACCCTTACGGTGGCACGCCAAGGTATAAACTGTCCAGCCGCCCTGGGACAGGCGCCCCCTGCGGCGGAACAGTTTTTCTTTTATCCAGTTCCTCGCCCGCTAACATCACCCATCGATCGCCGATAGGGGCCTGATAGCCCCATCCAGCCCAGTAACGTGCGGATTCACTATCGGGGGCCCATCGTCAATCTTCAGCCACGCGCAGAGGGGGGTGGGGGGAGGGGAGGGCTTCTTAGGAGCACCCCTGCTTCTTAGAAGGCGCGGGCCTTCTCTACAGACGTAGGGCCGGCGCCTTCTCAGAAACGGCCTCCTTCTAAGACGCCCCCCCCCTCGCTCCACCCCCCTGGTGCGCACCGCCAAGATGCACGGGCCACGTGTCTCAGGAGGGAAAGAAACACACAGACACAATTATTCGTCGATTCCCAGGAAAATATGGGAAAATATGGGAAGTGGGGGGGAAGACAAAAACCCAGAAAATATGAGGAAATATGGGGAATATGTTTATTTGTGTGTATTTATTTGTGTGTCCTGGGGCCCCTTCAGTGTCACTGATTCCAGGTCGATGTGTCCCCCGCTCTGCCCATCCCCCCCTGGCGCTGCCCCTCGAGCGTGGGCTCTCGCCTGTGGTCGCAGCGGCGGCATCGGCCTCCAGCACACGCGCTCCAGCGAGCGTGCGCGCACCTGCCGCCTCCTGTGCCCCCGTCCGCTCCCTGGCGCCCCTGGTTTCGATGCTCGTTTTGGGGACCTTCCTGGGGGCCACCTAATGGATCTGTTCGACTCAGGTTCGACTCAAGTTCGACTCAGGTTCGACTCAGGTTCGACTCAGGTTCGACTCAGGTTCGACTCAGGTTCGACTCATGTTCGACTCAGGTTCGACGCAGCTTCGACGCTCGAGTGAAGCGAGTGGCTGCAGGAAGGTCCCCAGAATGAGCATCTAACCTGGTGAGACCGCGACTCAGAGCAGGGAAGCTGCACCCACACCTCTGCCCCCTTCCCTCGATTTCCCCTTTTTGGGGCCTCCTGGGAGGTCCTCGTCGCCACCGCTGGATTCGCCTCGGAATCCTGGTCAGAACGCACCCCAGGAGAGGTCCAGGGAGCATCGGCACCGGCACCCGTTCGTTCCCCCAACGACGGCTGTAGCTCCTCGATCTTCCCTCCCCTCCTCCCGACGAGCACCCCCCCTCGCCCTTGACAGCCGCTAGTGTGTTCAGACTGGTCGATTGGAATGGCCAGCGCCCTTCGGCGACGCATCTCTATCTCTAACGTGGCAGTTGCTTTAGGAGTGTTTCCCTGGGGCAAGAGAAGAGCAAACAGCAATCAACTCCAGGACCAAACAGCGAAAACAAGTTCTTTCTAATTGCGAAAAGCAGCAACAGAACAGCATATCAAAAAGCAATCCCCCGTCCGAGGGCGATCCCCTGGGCGAGTGCCGGGTCTCGCCCGAGGGCTTCGGCTGGATGACGCGCTGCCTGTGCCGGCTGGCGCGGCACTTCTGCGACGGGCGCGCGCGCGCGCGCGTCCCTCGGCCGGCCCGGCCGGCGGGGAGGCCCCCCGACGTCCTGGACATCATGGAAGTCGCCATGGAGCAGATGGGGTCTCGAGGGAAGCGGATCCTGGGGTTTCGCGTAGTTTTCGGGCTCTCTCGGAGCCTTCCGCGGGCACCAGGGCTGTCCATACACGGCTCCAGACGAAGAGTGGGTGGTGGGGAAAGCCCACGCGATCCAGGACCCGTGTCCCTGAGGACCCGTCTGTTTCGCGAAGAGGCGAAGACGGAGTTGGCATCGAAGGTTTTCCGGCGTTCTTTTTGTTTGGGGGGAGGGGCTCCATGGGTCAGGAGGGAAAAAAAGCACAGACACAATTAATCGTCGATTTCCCAGAAAATATGGGAAAATATGGGAAGTGGGGGGGAAGACAGAAACCCAGAAAATATGGGGAAATATGGGGACTATTTTTATTTGTGTGTATTTATTTGTGTGTCCTGGGGCCCCTTCAATGGGGCCTGCACATCGTCGCCACGGCCGGGCTCCTGTTTCATATTTTTCGTCGAAGCGCGCTCCTGGACAGGTTTCAGGGCACCGGCGGCGCACTGCTGGGGCTTCCAAGGCTCAGGAGGGAAAGAAACACACAGACACAATTAATCGTCGATCCCCAGGAAAATATGCGAAAATATGGGAGGGGGGGGGGAAGACAAAAACCGAGAAAATATGTGAAAATATGGGGATTTTGTTTATTTGTGTGTATTTATTTGTGTGTTCTGGGGCCCCTTTAAAGGCCTCCGACGTTTCTGGAAAAACACGAACAACAAGCTTGGTTTGACGCTGTGACGCACTTGTGTTGGGCCGTTTTCTTGTCGCGGCGGCCTCAACAGACAATCTGGGACGACAGGCCAGTCCGGGCGAGGGGTCCTTCTCTTCGCCGGACTTGGAACCAAGTTGGTTATTTAGGTTGAGTTGGTGTTTAGCTTTTGGGATGCTCAAATTTGTTGTGTCTCTGGCCCAGAGTGGCCTTGAGCGATTTCTGGCCATCTTCTCCCGACACCCTATTGTTTTGTTCGGCTTGCGGCCGAGAGTGTCCAGGCCAGTGGCAGACTGTCACCATCAACCACAGCACAGTCGAGAGTCTCGGGCCTAACGTCTTGAATCAATCAGAGCATTAATACTGCCTTTTGAGGGCTACATCGGGAGAGCTCTGACGCTCTTTCGAGGAGTGGAGTCGTAGGGTCACGAATGCTCATTTTGCGAACGGACCAAGAGCTCAGAATCGCTTGCCTTGTCATGGGCATTTTAAGGAGGCAGGTCCTGATGGGGGGCGGCTCGCAGGAGTCAAGAGACGCCATCTTCAGGCTAGGATCTGGGGGGAAGGTTGGCCCCCGTGGCGAGCGGCACCCAGGAACCCAGAGGACGCGCCCCTTTCTGAGAGGGGGGCGTCCTTGTGGCCGCGGCTGGACGCGGCGCGGTTAAGCTGAGCTGGCCCGACCCGAACGTGCCGAGCTCCCCCCAAGGTTGGCCTCCTGGCCCGACGCGGCCGTCGAGCAGCAAAAGGCTTTGCAGGGTCGAGCAAGAGCCGATCACCATTTCCCAGCTGGCAGGTCGGCTAGCACTGCCCTCCAGGACGACGGCAGCCGAGGCACAATCCCAAGTCTCGACGCGACTGGAGGGCAGTGGCCAACGTTTCGTTTTCCTTGCTGTGGGCCTCTTCGCCAATGTAGGATCATGCCCCCTATGAGCGCTCCAAGAGGAGGAGGAGGAGGAGGAGGAGGAGGAGGAGGAGGAGGAGGAGGAGGAGGAGGAGGAGGATCGGGAGGAAGAGGAGGAGGAGGAAAAGGAGGAGGAGGAGGCGGAGAAGGAAGAGGAGATGGAGATGGAGACGGAGACGAAGGGGGATGACCGAGGCGGAGGGGGGCCTCCAGAGGTCTCAAGAGGTTTCCCGAGGCTTCTGGCGGTACAAAGGCAATGCAATGTGTGTCCCCCTCGAGGTGGAGGCCAGAGAGGCAGATGGGGGGGAAGGCGGGAGAGAGGGCCCTGGATGCGAGCCAGCACACCGACGATCGCGGTTCCCTATGCCACAGATGCCAGGGTATCCAGCGCGCGCCGCCGCCGTTGGCGCCGCTGGCCTGCTGGCGGGAGGGCCTGCCACCGCCGCCGGAGCCCCAGGGCGTGCTCCGCGGCCCGCCTGCTCGTTGGCCTCGGCGGCCCGCGCCCGCCGCCGCGACCTGCAGCCGCTGCAGGCGCGCCTCGGCCAGCGGCGCCGGCGCTGGGCGCACAGCGGCAGCCCCGTGAGGCGCCGCTGCCCAGCCGTCCGCCTCGAGTCGTCGCTCCGTACGTCGGCGTGCGCAGCCTGCGCCGCCGGCGCCGGGGCAGCGCTCCCGCCGTCGGGCGGGTGACGAAAGGTGCGCCTGTCGTGCACCTCTGAGGCCTAACAGGGGCCCAGTGGGCCCCAAAGGGGCACAAAAGGTGCACGTGTCTTCACCCCTCAGTCTTAAGTCGGTCCTGTCCCTCTACAGGAGGAATGCTCAGTGTGAATATTCTCGTGTATTTGTGAATCTTCTTGTGTACTTTTGTTACTATTTTACATTTTTCGTCCCAGCTCCGCCTGTATGGGGACACGCCCGACCTAACCTCAGTCATCGCCCCCCTGTCAGCAACGCCCAACGCCAGCAGCTCCGGCCGCGCTCGCCGCCGCGCGGCTCCCAGAGGAAAGTCGCTTGCGGCGGCGCCTGCGCCGCTTCGCCTTGGCCGTGGGACGGCCTGGGGAGCAGCTCCGCCGGCGGCCGCAGCACCCGCCGCCGCCTCCGCGCTGGCCAGCGACTTCGACGCAGCCAGGGCTACGGAGATCGCCGACCGCGCGTCTGCGGCCACGGTGCGCCGTGGCGCGCGCGCTTCCACCGCAGCGCGGACTGCAGCCGCCACCAGTGCAGCGACGTCCGGCTCCTCGCGCTCTCCTCTGGTCCCTCGCGCGGCGGTCGTCGTGCGGATGACCGAGGCGACGGGCATGCGATCGCTTGCCCGCCGCCTCGTTCGAAGAGGAGGACGAGGTGGAGGGATGGGGGAGTAGGCCAGAGGAGGAGAAGAGGGAGAAGGAGGAGGAGGAGGAGGAAGAGGAGGAGTTGGAGGAGTTGGAGGAGGAGGAGGAGGAAGAGGCGAAGGAGGAGGAGGAGGAGGAGGAGGAAAAGGAGGATGAGCAGGAGGAGGAGGAGCAGGAGGAGGAGGAAGAGCAGGAGGAGGAGGAGGAGGAGGAGGAGGAGAGGAGAGGAGGAGGAGGAGGAGGAGGAGGAGGAGGAGAAGGAGGAGGAGGAGGGGGGGAGGGAGGGAGGGAGGGAGGGAGGGAGGGAGGGAGGAGGGAGGGAGGGAGGGACGGAGGGACGGGGGAGGGGGGAGGGAGGGAGGGAGGGAGGGAGGGAGGGAGGAGGGAGGAGGATGAGGAGGAGAGGAGGAGGAGGAGGAGGAGGAGGAGGAGGAGGACGAGGAGGAGGAGGAGGAGGAGGAGGAGGAGGAGGAGGAGGAGGAGGAGGAGGAGGAGGAGGAGGAGGAGGAGGAGGAGGAGTGGAGGAAATGGAGGGAGCAGGAGGGGAGGAGCAGGAGGAGGAGGAAGAGCAGGAGGAGGAGGAGGAGGAGGAGAAGGAGGAGGATTCGGAATATTAGGACTATTAGGAAAATTAGGCGGATAATGGAGGAGGAGGAGGAGGTGGAGGTGGAGAAGGAGGAGGAGGAGGACGAGGAGGAGGAGGAGGAGGAGGAGCAGTTGTAGAACGAGAGCAAGAGCAGGTGAATGGATGGGAAGCGGTGGAGGAGGGATGGAGGAGGAGGAGGAGGAGGAGGAGGAGGAGGAGGAGGAGGAGGAGGAGGGCGGATGGAGGAGGAGCAATAACAGGAGGTGGAGGAGGATGAGGAATGGAGGAGGAGGAGCTGGAGGGAGGGGGCGAGGAGCTGCTGGCGGAGCAGCGACGGCGACGGCGCCCTTCCCCCGCGCGGGGAGGCGCCTGCTGCTGTGCCTGGAGGGGGGCTACAACCCCGATGCCATCGCTCAGTGCACCGTGGAGCCCCCGGCGCGGCCCCACGCGCCCCATCCTTCCAAGCCTCTCTCGAAGAAGGAAAAACCACACTAACAAATCTCCAAGAAGTCCGCGCGGAGCGCGAACAGTTATGTTCATGTGTGTTTTTTCTTCGTCTAAACCCAGATCAGGTCCGAGCAGGCGGGGTCGCAGGATCGCGCCGCATCGCCGATGCGCCGGCGAAGCGGATCGGCGTGGGGCCCGACTTTCTTCGCGCCGCCGCCGCCGCCGATGCCTCGCCGACGCCTCGGTGACGCATCGGCGGTGCGGCGCGACCCTCCGACCCCACCTGCCCGGACCCCGATCTGGGAGGCCTGCGCCCGCCGCGCCAAAGCCCGGCTTGGGCGCGGGGGCGGCCGAGCATTTGCGGGCCCACTCGGGGCCAAAGGGGGGACGGAAAGTTCGCCCTGGCGGAAGTTTCGAAAGTTTTTCGGACGTAGTCAGATCTCTGCACGAACGAAACGGGTGCGGAAAGGATAGGTACGATGTCCAACAGCAGTTCCTGTTCATTCTGAGCAGGACTCGCTGTCCGCGCCGCCGCGGCCGGTGCCCATTTTGAGACAGAAGGCCGCCTGCCCAACACCGGCCGCTGTTGGTGTGGGACAATATTCTCTGAGATCCGATGTCGTGTTTTTTTTCAATACGGGGTCCCCCGAAGTCTCGACCCAGTCCCCAGGACCGGCTTTCCATCCCGAGTCGTTTTTTTTGACGGTCCCGGGGCCCGGCGAGGGCCCCTAGAGGACGAAAAATACGAAACAAAATCCGTCTTGATTTTTTCAATACGTTTGAGAGGTCTGGGTTTGTTGTTGAGCATATCCATTTTTTCCGTACCCATTTCGGGCGTCCAAACAAATGTGTTCGAGTTCCTGGGGTGGTTCTCATCGGCCGCGCCTCGTCGAGGGCGTCGCCTGTTAGGATACACCCGCTCGATCCCCCCTCTAGAATCCGCCCGCCCTTCCGAACGTTAGGCCCGCCCGCCCGACCCGCCCGTGCGGGCCCGCCCGACCCGCCCGTTCGGGCCCTCCCGCCCGAACCGCCCGAGTCGTCTTCACCCGATCTGTCGCTCTGCCTTCGTCCTGCCAGTCGGCTACCGCTTGTGGGCGAAAAACATGCCCGTATCCTCGGCTTCGCGGGCCGGGCTTCTGGGCCGCGACCCTGCTGATACGGGGCGGTTTTGTTGCCGAGGCCCCGCGCGGAACGTATCCGTGCGACCGCGCATCCCAGCAGAACCCCGACATCATGATTCTTTCATCATAACGTCGACCCTCGGAGAATTGAACTCATTCCCCAGGACGGGTTTTTCGCCCCGAGTAGTTTTGTTCACGGTCCCGAGGCCCAGTAAGGGCTTCCGAAGGCCGAAAATAACGAAAAACCTCGCGCCGTGACTTGTTCATGACTTGAGGGGGTCTGGGATCCGTGGGACCGCGCCCTGGAGTCCAGACCGTGAGGGCGCGGATACGGATCTGTCCGCCGCTCGTGAACCGTGCCCTGGGGCGCCCGCGGAGGTGTCCTCGCCCCGCCTGTCCCCTTGAGGAGTGCGTGCAGTCCCTGCTGGCCGAGGCCTCGGGCGAGCCAGTCCCGCCCGGCAGCGAGCTGCCGCAGTTCGAGACGGGCGCGCGCCGGGCTCAGCCCGCCGGGGGGCCAGGCCGGTCCCCGAGGCCAGGACGGTCATCCCACGTCTCGGGGGCCGCCAGCAAAAGGTGTGGTGACTACACCGCGCGGTGAGTCGGTGAGGTTTCGGGCTCGGGCGGGGCTGAGACGAGGATGACTCCGTTCCAGAGCGCTCTGGAGCGCTTCAGAGCGCTCGGGAACGCTTTGTGGGAAGGCCTCGGCGCTCGCTACATCCTCCAAAACCGCCAGATCTTATAAAGATTCTCGATGTCTCCTTAAGTCGGGCGTGTCCCTCTGCAGGTGGAAAATCCAAACATAGTCTAAACAAATCTGATGTGTTTGACCATTGTTTTTTGTATTTCTAAGTTGTCGTCCAACATCCGCCTGTAGGAGGACAGGCCCAACTTAAATGTATCCTCGCCCGATGTTATCCTCGTCCTTGGCTTCGCCTTGGGGGCCGCCGTGCGGTGTTGGGCCTCGGGCCGTGCTCTGAGAGCAGCTCTTGGGAGGCCATGGGGCCTCCGAGGCCCCAAAAGACCGTGCGGTGGCGGGCCGCGTGGAGATCGGGCCGGACGAAAGGGGGGGATTGGGAAATGGGGGGTTACGAAATTTGCTGCATGCAGCTGGTTTCGGCTTCACCGAGGGGCCCATTCCTCGATACATAGCCGCCTCCGGCGCCGGGAGGCGCCGGGAAAGTCAGCTACATGAGCTGATTCTCAACCCCCCCCTTTGCTATCCCCCCCTTTCGCCCGACCCGAGGAGAGGTCGTCGGAGAGATGCCGAGGCCGTGCGCGCAGCCCGTCGCCACACGGTTTATTGGCGCGCGCTGGGCTCGGGCCTGCTCTCGAGGGAAGCAACAGCATAAAAGACAGAGGCGACGACAGGGGCGAATAGCCCAGGGGAGAGCAATCCATGAATTCAGGTGCGCCGATGATCTATGTCTTCGACAGGGCTCCCGGGCGAATACGTGTAGTGCCCGCTCCTGGCCTATTCGCCCCTATGGTCGCCGCCGACATCAACATACACTTTCGGGACACCTCGCCGATTTCTTGGATTGGCGCTGGAGCCCCCGGCGCGCTCCGCGCGCCAGGAAGGGGGGCTCAGCGCAGATCCGAGAGGTCCGCGCAGGTCTCCGTCAGTTTCTGTCTATGCAGTTCTTTATCTTCCTCCAGCCTCGGTGTGCAGGGCGGTCCCGGAGGCCAGGACCTCTAAGCACTTTAAACGGAGAAGGTTAAAGGCGAGGTATAAATCGAGCATGTACCGCTGCCGTGCCTGGCTCAAGCCGGGCCCGGCCAAATATATGACTGTGCCTCACCGAGGCGCACGACTGGTATCTGAGATCGGAAAATACCTTTTCCATTGAAGATGCCTCTTCTATCCTTTACTCCAGATCCCATGCTTCGTCTCGCTCTCTTGCTCATGCGATATGAGCCAAAGCCTGGGATATGGCAACGCTTGAAGCGTAACACATACCTAAGCTTACCAGCATGTTTTCGACTTGGTAGCGGAGCTGGCTACACTCTCGTGTGGCTGGCTCTCGCTCTGATTCCTGTAATCCACGGCACAACTTGGTGGACTACTACTACGGTGGAATACCATGTTGCGCCGGCTCTGCGAGGAGCGGAGCCAGTCCGCGATCGAGCTAGCGGGGCAACCCGCGAACTCGAGACGCTCTCTCCTACTTCACTGCGCTACTTCACTCTCGACTTCCACCAGCTGCCAATCGGCAACTCGATCGAGAACGTGGTCACCCTGCGGGGCTACCCGCAGCGGGGCCACCTGCATCCCGTGCCAGTCAGGCGCCTCACGGCTACTACGCCAGAGCCTGACAAACCACAGCCTAAACCAATCACCGAAGCCGAAATGCACATGCACTGGATTAAGATAACTATCTTCGGCATTCTGTGGGTAATAATGGGATGTGCTGTGGGATACATGCGGCAGGGGATGGACGACACGCGTACTACTGGCCCTTCATGGGACCCTGCCGGTACTACGCCTTTTCGCGAATACGTTCGCGAAGTACATGCATGGATAAACGTAACGAGCGGCAATATGACGCCACCACAACAAGCTGCAGCACTACAACGAGGCCTTCAAGGTCTTGCTCGTCGTATCGCCATGCAGGTCCCCTCCCAGATCATCAACTATGGTGTAACTGTCAATGGACAGCCAACGGATGCAGTCACATATATACTGTACCTACTGAGCACCAAATTTGAAAATCTGGAAGATGAGCGCCAGCTCAACTCTGGCACTGCCCTTATCGACTTCCGCGTCGAAAGGGGCGAGCGAATCGACTCAGTATTAGCTCGATTCGAGATGGCCCGTGACGAGGCTAACTCTGTTGGCTTTGTCATCCCCAACTTTCAGATCCTAACGCTGATTCTTTTCAGAGCGTTAGGCGTTGGCGCGTCACGAGCCCAACACCTGCTGGAGCCTTTTAATCATCAGATGCCCAGAACACAAGCAGACTATGACAGGCTGCTGACCAGGATGAGGAACTACGGACATGTTGCCGAGCGCTCTCCTGGCAACATTGCGGGTATCTTCACAGGGCACCACTCACATGCAGGTGTCTACGCCACGACTGCGGGGTCACCCGCTGGTCCTGGCGAGCCAAGTCCCTGGGCTGACCCAGCCGATATGCCCAACGAGGCCACTGCCTTCTTAGGGCAGACCGGCCAGGCATCGGCAGAGGCAGCTGAGGCGAACGCCTGGTCGAACTACTCGCCAGGCGCCGCCTACACTGCAAGCCCGCCCTCGGGCACAACCCTCTGGGGCCAAGCGGAGTCATCCGCTCAAGGGTCTCAGCCACCCTCACCGTTTGAATCTGGCACTGACACAGACACCTCATCTGACGATGAGCACAATGGCATAGTCTCTGCTGGTAATGACTATCCAGCGGATGACACTCACCTTTCTGAACAACAAAGAGCGGAAGCCGCTTTTATGGCTTATCGCAAATCAAAACGCCGTTGGAGGCGCTTTATGAAGAAACCAGTCAGAAAAGTGAGACGTGCAGTACGCCGACATTTCAAACGATATGGAAAGGGTCGTGGCAAAGGGGGTCGCAGACGCCGTATGCATGGTAGGGGTATTACTGCTTTCCTCACGTCCTTAACTGATATAGTCTTTGAGGAAGTTCTTATCGGAGGCAAAGGTCGGGGTCACAGGCGGACCTCCGGTAAGGGAAAAGGGCGGAGGGGCAACCCTAGGGACGCTTCTGGCAATACTATGAAGTGTCATACATGCGGTAGCACAGAGCATTTGCGCGATCAATGCCCGAAAGGGAAAGGAAAGGGATCCGTACATTTGGCTCAAAATTCTTTTATGGATGACATAGACTACATTGACTACGAGTTTTACGTCAATCCAGAAGCGGCTCCCGCCGCGGGCTCCTCCACGTACTACGTGATGGCCCGCTACGCTGAAGTGACCGTAGCCCTGGAAGACTACGCAGTGACCCTCTTCGACGAGTTCCACGGCTGGGACGAAGTCGACGAGGTCGCGTTCAATGCCTGGTTCGGTCTTCCAGCGGGGCCACCCGCCGACGACGAGATCTCCGAAGCTGAGACCGTCCCGGCGACCGAGGAAGAGCTCGCCGCCGCGCTGGCACCGCAGGTGATTGGCATGCCGTTGCTGCCAGATCTTCCGCGAGCTGGCTCGGAAGCGGGAGACGCTGATGACGAAATGCGGGGCCATCCCGCGTATTCTGACTCCGAAGAGGCCGAAGAGGACTATAAGGACATGCTCCAAGAGCAGGTCGCAGAAGCAATCCGGCTCCTGAGTGCGCCAGCACATCAGCAGATAACCATGAACGACCTGCTGTCGCGCCCAGGGGCTGCACGGCTGCGCCCATACCTGGATTCGGACATGTCGGCACCTCAGATGCTGACAGCACTCCAGGCTCTAGCGGGGTCACCCGCCGAAGTGACGCCAGCCGCAGCAGCGGGGCCACCCGCTTGGTCTATGGATGTATTTATGCAGGGCTGCGACCAGATGGACCTCAACGACCTCACGATGGAGCAGCTAAACGACATCGGGTACTTCCGAAGCCCGTATCAGCACGTATTCATGGCCCAGGACAGCTCAGAGGACTCGGAGGACATGCGCTATGCCAAGAGGGACAGACGACCATCGCCTCCCCGAGACTCAGAGCATGACGATCAAAGGCCCATGGAACGTGGTAGTGCGTCAGCGGGGCCAGCCCGCAGGAGGAGCCGTTCAGCTCCCCGACGCCCTACACATGATGCATCGGGCTACCCGTACAGTACGGAGCACTCCGTTGGTGTATCCGCTCAGTACGTGCCGGAGTGGTACATCAATTGGTACCCCGGCTACTCGATGGACGTGATCCGCCACTGGTATTCTAAGGAATACTGCACCAAAAGGGACGAAACTGGCATGATAATACGTACCAAGGGTGGCAAGACCAAAACGCCAGAGGCTTGGGACAAAAGGGCTAAGAAACAGGAGATCATCAACGATCGCAAGACATACAGAAAACAAGTATGTCAGTGCGAGCCCTTCAAAGGTCACATGCGCAGTTGTCCAATGGACCGCCCCTCCAGGAGTCCTCATCACGGTGAGACCCCGTGGAATTGGTCTCATGGAGATGACGCTGGCAACGTCCATGATCCTAACAAGGAGGTCCCTGGAGGAGGAAAGCGCATCACAGAAGCCGATCGCGTCCCTATGACCGAAGAGGTTGCCAACACTGTCAGGGAAAATTGGGTACAGCTTCCCAATGACCATCGCCTCAAGGAATGGAACCGCCGATTCCATAAAGAGGCGGGGTCACCCGCAGGATCCAGCAAAGAAGCGGGGTCACCCGCAGACGCGGCGCCAGCCGCTGGGTCCGCGGACGAAGATTGGATAGCTGTTGCATCTGCTGCCGGGTCCGCCGCCGGTACTGACCACACCGAACTGAATGAAGAATGGGCGGCGGAAGACGGCTCAGAGAATCCATTCCCTGATGGATGCGCCTGTTGGTACTACAGCTC